ACCCAGGACTGGAGAGGGCCCTGCCCAGGGTCTGCGGGTGCCACTCACTCACCCGGCTGCAGCCCCCAGCTCCCCTGGGCTGACCGTGGGCCTAGGCTGAGCTGACTGGACTGGGGGTTGTCAGCTCTTGGTCTGGCCCCACCACTGTTCTGCCAGGGCCATGCTGTGACAGACAAGACGAGGGAGTGACCTGGTGGGCCCAGGGCAGGGACCAACAGCAAATGCCTCCCTAGGTGGTCTCTCCAGGACAGATGTGTCCCCTGTGGGAGGGCTGAGGCGCCCAGCAAGAGCAGCAGCTCCTCAGGGCATGGGGACCCAGCAGGCTGAGTGGGACTCTTGGAATAGAGGGAGCCTCTCCAGACTCAGCTCTGCAGGTGGAGTGGGGAGGCAGCTTTGCCCTGCGAGGTCTTCCTCAGGGGGCAGAAGAGCCAGGGTACCCTGCCAGCAGCAGAGAACAAACCCCAGTTCAAGGCGAACCCCAGGTGTGGGGTGGGTGTAAAAGCAGGTGGCTTTAACCATGAGTGGACAGGTGAGGGGCAGACAGGTGTGAGCAGGTGAGGGGACAGGTGGGAGACACATGGAGGGTGGGGGAAGATGGGGACAGGAGAAGAGGCAGTGGGGGCAGATGTGGGGCAGTTGGAAGTAGGTGGGGGTGGATGGCGTCGGTTGGGGGTGGATGGGGTTAGGTCCGAGCAGGTGCGGGGTGGGTGGGGGGCACGTGGATGGGGCTGGAGTTGGTGTGGGCAGGTGTGAGCAGGTGCAGGGCAGTGCCGGGGAGGCACTGTCAGGTGAGTGTGGGGCTGGGCAGAGGCTGAGCTGGGATACCAGGGCTCAGAACCTGCTCTCTGGGTAGGCAGCCGGGCTCCATCAGGTGTGACCGCCCACTGCACAGAGGGGGTGGAGGCTGGAGGCCCAGACACCTGCAGGGGCTGGGAGGGATGTGGGTGAGTCTGGCTCCTCCCACACCCTTCGTCCCACCAGCGTCCATAGCCCTGGCCCTGGCTGTCCCTGGCGTCCCCCCCTAGTGGACACCCCCGGCTGGACGCAGCTTACGTCAGGGACCTGGAGAGTGAGTGGCGAGCCCACCACAGTGGGATCCTACAGACGCTGCTACCACTGACCAATGGCGCCGGTAGCTGGTTTGAAAAAGAAAGGGCAGCACAGAGGCCGCCCGGAAGAGCCGGTGTTTCCATGAGCCGCACTTACAGACGGCGCCAGGGGGTCCGGCTGCCTGGCCCTGCGCTGTGTTTACAGATGCGCCTAACCTTATATTGTTCAAGTCGCACGTCCTGCCTATCAGGGATGTTTTCGGACTCTACATGGGAAGCCCTTGGCTGCTGTGTGAAGGTTGGGTCAGGGGGCGGCTGAGGCTGTCCAGGGGAGTGGTCAAGGGCTTGGGGAAGCAGAGGTAGACTCACCAGGTGCTGGTGCTCAGCGGGGCTGGAGAACACCAACTCGACCCATACCCTGGCTGGGTCACCCCGTCCCTGCTGGGGCTTGATGCCAGGCAGAGCGGGTTAGGCTGGGAGAGGCCCGGGGCCAGCCTGGGGAGCAGAGCTGCTCAGCGGGGCAGAGGTCCTCCTCCGGGCACCGGGCTCAGGGCCCAGTGGCCAGATGGTTTTCTTTGCTGCAGGGAGTGCCGGCTGCGGGGGGAGGCCTGGGAGGGCTTGTGCAGCTGGGCCTCTCTTGGGCTTCTCTGCTGTTGTTTTTTGCTGGAAAATCAATCCTGCAAGTCCAGCTGGGCTCTGGCTGAGAGCAGCTAGGGGTGGGGTGGTGGGTGCTTTCCAGCCTTGCGGGGCAAGTTCTGGGCCCACAGTGGGGAGAGAAGGCAGGATGGGGTGGGGCCCCGAAGATCCTGGCCTCCCCTACTCTGTGCCCTGCTTGGGTCACCCCAGAAGGACTGTCCCGATCCTCCCAACTTCCTGCCCAGGCCCCCAGAGCTACCTGTAGCCTCCCCTTGCTCCCGTGCCCAGGCAGAGGTCTATAGGAGCCCAGAGCCAGGGTATTCATCAGCAGCCACAGGAGAGTTGCCCCACCCTCCCCAGCTCCACCTGTCTTGCCTCTGAGCCCTACCCAAGGCCTGGAGAATCACTGCTTCCTCCTGCTCCAGGGGTTCCAGCAGAGCCGTTGGAGGGTGTGCCTGCCGCGTTCTTAGCCCTCTCTGCCGACCTTTCTTGAACGGACTCTGGCCACGGTGGCAACGCATCAATGTCCTGTGCCTCTGCTGTCCGAGCTCAGGGGCCGTCCATGCCTCCGAGGCTGGCATACGGCAGCTCGTTTTACCCATGAGGGGGAAGCCCAGGACCTGTGCCCTTGATCACACGTCCAATTCACACAGACGCACACGCACACGCACATGCCTGCCCACCAGGCAGACACCCACGCACCTGCACGCAAGCGCACGCCAAGCCAGCGGGCCCAGTCCCTGCCCCGGAGTCCCTGGTGTCAGAACTAGGCTGCTGTGGCTGTTCCCTCTTCAATATGCCTGAGTTTTATGAGCCCAAATTAATAGGCCTTTGTTGCTGCATATAAATCTGAGGATAAAATTGTTGAATCTGTTCAACGTAAGCAGTTGAAATTTTGCCTGGGGTGGTGGTGAACGTCTCTAGCACTTGGTAAAATGTATTTAAAGGGCATGTATTTGACAACATTAACAGCCCGCCGCCCGCAAGCACAGCCCGTCTCGTCATCTGGCGGCCTCACCGTTCACCACGGTTGGCGGCCCCAGTCACTCCCACGGTCTTTACCAGCCAGGTGCCAGTGGCTGGGACCAGGTTCTGACCACTGTGCCCAGTCATTGTGGAATCGGGTGAGCGGGCCAGACCCTGCGTCGTAAGGACAGAGCAGGACACGTCCTGTCACAGGGCACCCACTGTCTGCAACTTTTGTTTGTTTCTGCCCCAGGTTGGGCGGGACAGTTGGCGGGCACCACAGGCGCTCCTGTGAGGCCACCTGGCCAGTCCCAGGATTAGCTGCAGGCTTTGGCTGATTTTCTTGAGTCTTGTACACAGATGCTTGTCAGCAAATACCAGCGGCTTATCTCTTTCCTTCCAACATGCAAACCTTATTTCATGTTAGGTTTTGGCACAACCTCGTCTAATACCAACCTCGAGGGAAATAAACCGTGCTGCCCATTTCACAGGCCAGGAAACTGAGGCTGAGGGACCCCCCAACCCTGCCGACATCCTGCTACCCCGCACCCTTGCTAGGCGTTGTTTTTTGCTGGAAAATCAATCCTGCAAGTCTTGCTGGGCGGGGTGACTCCCCCGAGGTGGCACCAAGGGGAGGTTCGTTTCGAGGCTCAGAACACTTTTCTGACAGCTTTCTGTCCCTTACATCCCGGACTCAGTCACACTTCAGCGTCCCGGCTCCCTGGCTGCCAGCCTCACACCACAGACAGCCCTTGGAGGTGTTCTGTTCCTGCCCTGACCCTTCTACTTGGAAACACGGAAACAATGAGGCCAGCTGAGTGGGAGCCTCCAGGCCTGTGTCCAGCGCTAGTTCCCGGTGCCTGGCTGCCTGTCGGGGCGGGGCCTGTCTCCTGTTGGAGCTGGGAGGGCGGCCTACCTTGCCAGAGGCCAGCCCCACCCTCGGCTGCCATGGGGGCTGACCAGGGCCCAGTGACCCAGCCCACGGCTTGCCTGTGCAGAGGCTGGAGCCAGCGGTCAGCATGGAACTCCTGGTCTTCCCACTGATACCTCTGCAGCCCACACCGGCGATATCAGAAAACATCAGCTCTAGCCCGCAGCCCAGACACTTGAAGTCACCTTGGCCGCCCCTCCTCACACCCATGCCCACGTCAGCGAAACCAGGGCTGGCTCCTTAATTGTGTCCAGAACCCACCCTTCCCACCCGCCCAGGCCACCTCCCTTAGCGACCCAGGGGCTCCAGGATGAGCCCCAGACAGGTCAGAGATGGGCTGGGTGGCAGGGAGCAGAGGCCTGTCATGAGGTGGGGCTACCCTCGGCGTGGGTCTCAAGACTGGGAGCCACTGCCCATACCCAAGAGACCTCTGTGGGCACTGGGGTGCAGAGCCAGGTAGGAGGGGGCACCCCTGCCAAAGGCAGCGGCCTCCCCTCTGCTTCTGCTTTAGATGGGGCCAGGAGCAAGGGGAGGCTGACACTTGGGGGTTGACGCTGCAGGGTCTGGACACTTGGGGTGGCAGGAGAACCCATCTGCATACAGGGAAAGGCTTGGGATGGGGACGTCCCTAGGGGACTCGGGTTCCCCCAGCACCCACTGCAGCCCCTCCTCGTGCCACCTGGACCCGTCTGCAGGAGTTTGCCTGGAAACGCTCCTCTGGGGTTTCTGTGGTACTTTTTTCACTTGGAGATTTGGTATCAAAGTTAACGTACGCTTATAAATGAGCTGGGACTCTGCTGATGTGCACAGACCACGCTCCCCAAAGAAGCTCTGAGAAACCAGGAGGCTGGGATTTCGAGAAGGACGCCAGTAAACGGTTTTCAGTATCAGCTACAGGCTGATACTACCCTGCGGGGGTGTCTCCTCCTGTGGCTGAACACCCAGCTCAGCTGTGGGCCAAGGTGAGGTGCAACCCCTTTTGGCTTTTTTGCACATTTCTGTAGGCTGGGTGACCCGTCTGGGGAACTTCCTCAGTCCTGACATCTGCTTTCCTTCCTCCTCCTGTGGCCCACAGTCTTCCCAGGTTGCAGGCCGGCCTGCGGGAGGTATGCCAAGAAGGGAGAGGGTGGGCAGTGGGGCAGGCCCGGCCTGGCACACTGCTTCCCTCCCACAGGGGCACTTCGGGCAGGCCACCTCCACGCCAGGACCCTACAGCATCCCACAGACCCAGTGGGCAGAGGGACAGGCCCAGTACACACAGAGACCACTGCCCAACCTGCCACTGCACTGTCTCTGAGTCTCTCTTAGGCTGCCCACATCAGAGAGGCTGAGCTAGGCCCTGGAGGTCACCAGAGCCAGGACTGAGGCTCACCCGTGCCCTCATGAGAGAAAGCCACTGGAACAAATGCTACGCAAACTGGCTCTTTCCGGGATTTTTATTTCTTTAAAATAATTCATACAAATGGTTACAGTCACAAACATGATTTTAACCAAAATATTGCTAGCCTACCACATCAGCAGGACGGCACTGGTGCAGGCGGGGACGCTGCCACCCTCCACATCCCCAGGACAGATGTCGATGGGCAGCGGGCACGCTGGGCACCGCCCAAGCTTTTCCTTTTGGAGCTGCTTCGTGATGCCGTCTTCATTTGGAACAAGGGGGGGTTCATGCCAAAATTAGGAAAAACAGCCTTTGTTTTGTTTTTCTAAATTATTCTAAAAATAAGACAAGCAGGTAGAAAAAACAATGCACTGTGTGGCATAAAAAGAAAAACGGGAAGGATTCATTGTCCTGAGAAGTTTGCCAACTGCCTCATTCTGGGGCACGTTCCAACATACAAAAAAAAGAAAAAAAAAAAAAAACCAAAAAAAAAAAAAAACCTCAAATTGACTTCCGAATGCTCCTTCAGGTTTTCTTTTTGTTGACAGCTAAGCAAACAGATCCTTTGTAATGTTCTAAAAACTGTACACAGACAAGAACGTTCATGGGAGAATCACTACTGACTTCTTCTGCTTAACGAGGAACGCGAAGGACACGGGGCAGAGCGCCCACAGGACGGACGACAAGCGACACGAGGCCCAGCGCTGCCCCCTCCCGCCTCCTGACAGCCCGGACCAGTCTCTGCAGTGCCAGGGCTGCCACGCAGGCACCTCCTCCACACACTCTGGTCCGAGGGTTTCCGGGCCCTCTGCCCAGGCGCTGAGGCTGGAGAGCTCCTCCCGGGCTACAACTGGTCACTGGCGTGGTCTCTATCTGCCTCGGGCTTGACAGTTTGGCCAGGAGAAGGGGCATGGGGTGGGTGGGCCACAGGGGGCAGGCCATGGGACAGGGACATGGCGCTGGGGACGATACCTTCCACAGCAGCTGGGATGCCAGTGGGGGCCACGCCCACCACGCCTGGAGGGTACCTGCTGGGAGAGGGTCCGTCTGTGAGGCCCACCTACAGGCAGCCTGACCGGGCCCCACCTGCCCTCATAGCGTCTGCAGCACTGAGGGGGCAGCTCCAGGAGGACCGGCAGTCAGGGTGAGGATCCTGCCTCCGCACAGATGCTCCCGCCTACGGGGGCTACTTCTCAGGGCAGGGGAGGGGAGCCCTGGTGTCTCCAGGCGACTTGAACATGAGGTCTTCACCTCACCCAAAGCCCCCTCCTCCCACAGGCCCCGTGCCCACAGTAGTCCTGTGTGCACTGGGTCCTGAAGGCCATCCCAGCTCCTTCCAAGAGGCCCTGGTTCTCACAGGCCTTTCGGGTGAGGTGGGCCTTACCAGTTCCACCCAGATCCTCCAGGTCAGTCAGTGGAGACGCCGCCCCTCCCGCCAGGGGCTGTGCTGGGATCCAGGGGAAGCCTCGGGCCCTCCTGGTGGCTGTTCCGGGCCAGCGGGCCTGCTCACCTATAGGCGGCCCCGTTGAGCTCAGGGTGCACGACAGCGGGGTCCATGCTGGCCCAGTGGGTGGCCGCCGTCAGATGGTCCTTGTTGACACAGTTCTTCAGGCTGTCTGGGATCCGGCCTGGGAGACGCAGGAGGGAGGAATAGCTGTGGCTCTGAGGGGGCCCCAGGAGCGTGGCCCACTGGGTTGAAGACACGGGCTGTAGGGCTCTCGGCAGTGTGCTCCTCCCTCTCAGCCCCGGGGCTCCCAAGGCATGGCAGGTTCCTGTCTCTCAGGGCACCAGAACCCTCGCAGTGTGGGGACCCCCAGCCCAGAGCGTGTGCCCAGTTTGCTGAGGGACCTGTCTGCTCAGCCCAGCAACTTCCCAGCAGCTCTTGTGTGTAAGATGACGCCAGGGCTCAACCTGACTTTGGCCTTAGAGGTCCCGGGCCCTGAGCTGGCAGAACACGGGCCTGGCTGCCGGGTGGATGCGAGCCCATGAGCCAGGCCTGGGGCCGGCAGGAAGGGTCCCCCAGGCCCACCTGTGATGGCTCTGCGGATCTCCCGTGCCGCCTCCTCTCGCATCTCGATGGACGCCTGCTCACTGTACCACGCAGCGTGGGGGGTGCAGATAAGATTGGGTGCATCCTTCAGGGGGCCCTGGCTAAAGCTGGGAACAGCACAGCATGGTCAGTGCAGCCCGAGTGCTGTGGCTGGGTGCGGGGGGGAAGTGGCTGGGCACTGGAACAACTGTGGGGGGGCCCTGCCTGGGACCCACAGACCCCACGGCCCTGCTCCGCTCGGCAGGCGGGCTGAGCACAAGAGCTCAGCCCCAGGACCATCAGACACACCAGGGGCTCCTGACAGCAGCAGGTGTGGGAGCCCAAAGGATTTAATCTCCAAGCCCCTTGGGGGAGGAGCCCTGATGGGGGGACATGCTGGCCTGGCCCCTCCCGGCCGAAGGTCCTGTAGCCCCAGGAGCTGCAGGCTGGTACTGCCCCTGCGGGGTGTCTCCTCCTGTGGCTGACCATCCAACCCAGGGCTGCCTGAGGTCCCAGGGCGCAGCAGGGATTGCAGGTCTGGACGTGACGCCATGACTCCATGGCCAGGGCCCGTGGGGACCACTCACGGACACTGGGGCCTCACTCTCTCCTGGCTAGTGGGGAGCCCTGCCCGAAGAGAGGCTGAGGAGGACGATCAGCCCTCACAGGACCGAGGCGAGGCAGGCCTGGAGCCCGTGGCTCCGTCCTCACCCCATGGTGGGCAGCAAACTCCCCCGTGCCGGCCAGCGAGAGGCCTGAGTACAAGCAAGTGCCCGGCCTGGCGGAGGCGCCATCTGCAGGTCAAGGCCGGCAGGATGATGGGCAGGGAAGAGCAGGGGGTGACACTGGCTGTGAGGGCACCTGAAGGGTTCCGACTCGTGCACGTCCAGGGCTGCGCCGCGGATCCGGCCCTCCTTCAGGGCCTGGGCCAGCGCCTTCTCGTCCACCAGGCCGCCCCGGGCCGTGTTCACCAGGAAGGCCCCTTGTCTCATCTGGAAGACATGAGGACAGGCCAGGCCCAGTCAGGGTTCCGCGAAGGGCGAGCGGCCAGGGAAGCAAGGTGGTCACGCACGCTGCTGAGGAGGCCCAGCTCCCTGGCCCCTTCCCAGCCCAGGCCCACCCTGGGCTCACCAGGGTGCTAGGACTTAAGACCTCAGGTGTGCTGCACCGCGGCCCTGGCAAGCTGGCTGAGGTTCGGCCCTGTGCAGACCTGCACGGCTCCACACCTCCTAGAGAGCTCTACGTTCCTGCCCAAGCCCTGAGCTGAGGACTGGGTGGGGGCTCCTGGCTTGGTCCCCCTGTGGTACCCCTTTTCTGGGTCCCCTCCAGCCCAGCCTCCCCCAACAGGGCCTCGGCCCACGAGGTGGGACTCCCTGGGATGACAAAGCCCAGGGCCGTCTACTCTGAGGCGTGGTGTTTGACTCCAACCCCAGTGGGGCCTGCAGCAGAGCCTCTGGACAGGCTCACTTTTCATGCACTTTTGCAAAAGGCCCTTGCAGTGGCTCCCTGTCAGCTTTGTGGCCAGGGCTTTCCTGCAACCCCCCCATTTCATTCCGAGGAAGCCCACCCAGCCACGGTGCTTGAGTGGCAGCCGGGTGGGCCACGGTGGCTTTTCTTTGGTGAGTTGCTGCCCATTGCAGCCTCACTCCCAAGGTCCTCAGGGATGGCAGGGCTCTGACCAGCATCCACGTGCCACACCCTGTCCACTAGAAGGCTCCAAACCCACTGGCTCTGTGAACAAAGGAAGGGGAGGCGGGCACCTGGCTTCATCCTCCTTGTGGCTACAGGCTGCTGGGGCAGCTTGAGTGGGTGGGTGGCCTCTGACACGTGTGTACACACACGCACATCCTTACAAGCTCAAACGGGCAGACACAGGCACCCACACACACTTGCCCACATAGACACACATCACCGTGCACACATAATGACTCCCTGAAAGGCCAACAGCCAGCGAGAGGCAGCCGTCCCCAGCTCCGCCCACCCGAGGGAAACACATGCTGAGGCTGCGCTCCGCGCTGCGCTGAGGCAGAGGCCGACCTGAGCACAGCCCTCTCCAGCTGCAGATGTGAAACCTGAACCTGGCAGCACAGGACAGAAGTCAGAAGGACAGGCCCAATGCCCCCAGGTAGCTGCATCATCTCCACTGTGACAGTGGCAAGAGCTTCAGGGGAATTTAGGGTTCAAAGGTATGTGGTTCTGTCTTGTCCAGAGAGCATTTCAGGCATCCTGGGTAGAACTCAGAACATAGAAAACGCTGTCTGGGCAGACAGGGCTTCCCCCAGCAGTGCCGGCACCGCTGCCATGTGGCTCACTGAAGGCAGGGTCTCGCCCAGGTGCAGGTGGCTGCTGGGAGGGGCCTTCCTGACACCCCCGTGCCTGCCCCGCAGAAGGAGAGCACTGTGCCCCCGGCTCCACGCACCTGCTTGACGGTGAAGTCGTTGATGAGGTGGTGGTTGTGCTCGTTGAGGCCGCAATGCAGGCTCACGCAGTCGCTGTGGAAAAGCAGGTCCTGCAGGGTGCTGACCCGCTGCAGCCCCAGTGCCCGCTCCACGCCGTCCGACAGGTAAGGGTCGTAGAAGAGCACGTTGAAGCCGAAGGCCTTGGCCCGCAGCGCCACCGCCTGCCCCACGCGACCTGGTGGTGTCAGGACACAGTGTGAGACCCTCGCTCACCTGTGGCTGGGAGGCCGGCCCCGACAGCCAGGATCGGAGTGGCCCCTGTGCCTCAGTTTGACCATCTGCCAAGGAGGACACCAGCTGTGGTCAAGCCAAGGTGCCGGCGCGAGGTGTCTCCACACGAGGTGTCTGCTCCCAATGCGCCCACTGCCAAGGCGGAGGCTGTGCACGGGGGTGGAAAGGGTGCACGAGCCCCTCGGCCCACACCAGCTGCCAGCCACGCCCCCCCTGCAGCCTGTCCACAGGACGTGACACGAACCACTCAGTGTCAAACAGACTGTCAGCGGGTCTCCACTCACCCCACACACGCCCTATGTTCCCAGGTCCCTCCACTGGCCTGCTTTCCGGTCCACCCATCGATGTCTCCGGCATCTCAGTTCCAGCCACGACTAGGTGGAGACGGCAAAGGGGGCGGGAGGGAACCTTCCAGACCAGGGAGGCCCCGCTGAGCTCATGTCCTGTCCCCTTCGAGTGGAGTGGCACAGAAAGCCATCCCGGGCAGACGTGCCTGCCCCGACCCCAGCAGTCCAAGGCTGGCGTGGGCCCCAGCACAGGAGCCACGGAGCCAGAGCCACCATTTCTGGCTCCTCCCCAGGGAAGGGTCGGCAGGGTGCATGCGCCCACCATGAGCCAACAGCATGGCTGCAAGGGACACAGGACCCCAGAAGCCCAGACGCGGCTGCAAGGGACACAGGACCCCAGAAGCCCAGACGCGGCTGCAAAGGACACAGGATCCCAGAAGCCCAGACGCGGCTGCGAAGGACACAGGACCCCAGAAGCCCAGATGCGGCTGCAAAGGACACAGGAACCCAAGCCCGCCCATGTGGTGTCTCCTGCATCGCCTCAGAGGGAACCGCTGCACAGGAAGGAAGCAGGCTGGGCGCTGGGGCAGGTGGGAAGCGGGCGCAGTGTCAAAGGCGGCAGCCAGGGCAGGCCTCCCTGAGAAGACCAAGCTTGCTGGAGACATGAGGGGATGGGAAGGGAGCCGAAGAGCTGGAACAACACGTGCGAGGGGCCCACGGTGGTGGCGGCCTGAGGGCCAAGGAGACCAGACCGCCAGGCAGACAGGGCAGCCAGACGTGGCCCAAACGCCCAGGGGACTCCCAGTCACTTGGGAACAGCCTGGGGGAGGCTGGGAGGCCAGTCAGAAGAGCTGAGGACCGTCTAAATACACTATATCCTAGAAAGGCAGGCGCCTGTTCTACCAGAAGGAACATGGCGGCTCCTTTCATCCCCAGGGACGAGGCTGCTGCAGGAGGCAACCGGTCCGGGGAGGAGGGCTTGGCAGGCCGAGGTGGGAGCAGCAGTTCCGAGGTCAGTCACAGCCGGAGTACCCGGGCACTCCCCAGATGCAGGAACAGCCCCCGTCTGTCAGCACCCCCTGCCAGGGATCCCACCGAACAGGCAGGAGAGGGAGGAAGGAAGGGAGATAGGCAGACACAGAGAAAGGCACCTCCCACAGCGCAGAAAGCAGAAAAGACGCTGTTTCCCACTCTGCTCAACAGAAAGCCCCAGGGAGTCCGGCTGCCAGTGGCGAAAACCAGCTAGAGGCGCAGGCCAACGCCGGCCACACCTGACACAGGACAGCAGTGGCTGCTGCGGCCAGATGGTTCTTCACTTTAGTCTCTGCCATTCTTTTCCATACGATGTCTGGCTTATGATAAGAAATTATGATGATGCAGGTGAAGAGGTAGGAAGATGTGGCTTCTAATTAGAACAAAACACTAGAAGAGGACAGACCCGCAGATGACCAAGGCTGGAATCAGCCAGCAAAAGCTCCTAAATAACTACTATAAACATGCTCAGAGATGACAGCAAGTGCTGATGTAAACAGCAGAAAAATGGAGGATTCTGGAAGACGAATGGCAACTCTATAAAGAACCACATAGAAATTCCAGAACAAAAACATCCCTCTGAAATGGAACTCCCTGGACGAAGCTAACAGCAAGAAAAGGATTGGGAGCTTGAAGGCTGGGGCTCAAAGTCAGCAGATGGCATCCAAACAGAAGCAGAGAGAAAATAATTTTAAAAACTTTTTTTAAAGAACAGGCTGTGGCGGCTCATGCCTGTAATCCCAGCACCCTGGGAGGCCGAGGCGGGTGGATTATGAGGTCAGGAGTTCGAGATCAGCCTGGCCACCATGGTGAAACCCCGTCTCTACTGAAAATACAAAAAGTCAGCTGGGCGCGGTGGTGCCTGTAGTCCCAGCTACTCGGGAGGCTGAGGCAGGAGAATGGCGTGAACCCAGGAGGTGGAGATTGCAGTGATCCGAGATCGCGCCACCACACTCCCGCCTGAGCGACAGAGCGAGACTCTTATTATCTAACAAAAAAAAAAAAAAAAAAAAAAAAAAAAAAAAGGCAAAACACATTTTCAGACAAGAGCGGAGGGAATCGTTCACTGGTTTCTAACAGAGTCTGTAGGCTACAGGGACCTGATGCCCGACGACAGCCAGAATCGGGGGTGGGATAAACAAGGAGGCAGAAAGGGTGGATGTGTCGGTCAATATTCAAAAACAAGAATTACTGAAAAATTCCTTGAAACACTCATGACTGATAGCTTCTTGTATGGTTTTCCGCACAACAGATGTAGAAAATCGGCCCGAGGGCAGCAGCCCGAGGGTGAGAGGAGCCACCGCAGGCCTCTTACCGCCCTCGACGAGGCTTCACAGGTTATGCCGGATGGCAGTGAGTTACGAAGGCATATCCTAATCTCTAAAGTAAAACTAAACACGATCACTAAGCAGTCGGTATAGATTAAAAAGCAACAACAGATGCGAGGAATCATTTAACACTTGATTAACATACAAGAAGGCCAGAAAGGAAAAACAAGGATGAACAGAAAACATGCAGCCAGACGACACTGAAATCCAAATGAGCAGCAATTACACTAAAAATAAATGAACGGAACACTCAAGAGGCAAAGACTGTCAGACTGAAAAAAGAAAGAGGAACCAACTATAAACTATTAATAACAGACACACTTTAAACACACACACAGAAGCCAGGCGCCATGGCTCACACCGGTAATCCCAGCACTTTGGGAGGCCAAAGCAGGGTGACCACTTGAACCCAGGAGTTTAAGACTATCCTGGGCAACACAGCAAGACCTTGTCTCTACCAAAATAATAATAATAATAATAATAATAAATTTTAAAAAATTGCAGTGCCACGCATCTATAGACCTAACTACTTCGGAGGCTGAGGCAAGAGAATCTCTTGAGCCCCAGTGCTCAAGGCTGCAGTGAGTCATGACTGCACCACCACACTCCAGCCTGAGTGACAGAGCAAGACCATTCATCTGAATGATAAATATAAGAACAGAGATAAACTGAAATTAAAAGGATGAAAAAAGACATACCACATAAACACTGATCAAAAGAGCTGGGATGGCTACCTCAACATCAGACCAATTAATTAGACCCCAAAAAGACGGTCCAACTTAATGGTGAAATATCAAAACATTTTTCTCCCACATCAAGACAGTAATACCTGCAAGTCACTGCTACTGACGATTGTAGCTAATGCAAAAAAGGCAAAAATAAAGAAATTAAAGAAATAAAAGGCACAGAGATCAGAAAGGAAAATGTAAATCTGTGTTTATCTGCAGGTGACACAGCAGTGTGTGCAAGAGAAAATTCAAGAGAATCTGTTTTTGGCAGAGGCAGGTCTCATTATGCCATCCAGGCTGGTCTCTAACTCCTGGTGATCCTCCGGCCTTGGCCTCATAACTCACTACAATAGCACGCACAAGCCACTGCACCCGGCCTAATATGGAGAATTTAGAAGGCTGTGGGATATGAGGTTGGTTTACAAAACTCAAGTGTATTTCTACCCACTAATAACCAAACATCAAGAAACAATTAGGCTGGGCACAGTGGCTCATGCCTGTAATCCCAACACTTTGGGAGGCCAAGGCGGGTGGATCACCTGAAGTCAGGAGTTCGAGTCTGGCCAACACGACGAAACCCCGTCTCTACTAAAAACACAAACATTGGCCGGGCGCGGTGGCTCAAGCCTGTAATCCCAGCACTTTGGGAGGCCGAGACGGGTGGATCACGAGGTCAGAAGATCGAGACCATCCTGGCTAACACGGTGAAACCCCGTCTCTACTAAAAAAGACAAAAAACTAGCCGGGCGAGGTGGCGGGCGCCTGTAGTCCCAGCTACTCGGGAGGCTGAGGCAGGAGAATGGCGTGAACCTGGGAGGCGGAGCTTGCAGTGAGCTGAGATCCGGCCACTGCACTCCAGCCCAGGCAACAGAGTGAGACTCCGTCTCAAAAAAAAAAAAAAAAAAAAACACAAACATTAACCACGTGTAGTGGCATGCGCCTGTAATCCCAGCTACTCAGGAGGCTGAGGCAGGAGAATCGTTTGAACCCAGGAAGCAGAGGTTGCAGTGAGCTGAAATCACTCCACTGTACTCCAGCCTGGGTGACAGAGCGAGACCTTCTCAAAAAAACAAAGAAACAACAACACAACACAAGCTGTAACAGCATTACAAATGCCAAATGCCTAACGATAAACTTAATGAACTACGTGGAAACCTTCTACTGGTAACGATGAAACACTGTTAAGAAAAGTCAAAATAAACGGAGACATCGTATTTGTGTCCTGAAGATTCAATATTATGAGGAAGTCAGCATTCCCAAAACTGATTTTAAGGACTCAACAAAATGAAAATTGAGCTGATTCCAGAATGGAAATGGAAATGCATAGCAGGACCTAAAACAGCCAAGACCCTTGTGAAGAACACGGTGGAAGATCTCAAGGCTCACAGCCGTGCAGACAGCATAACACGGGTGAAAGGGAAGAAAAACAGGTCCACGGAACAGAAGAGTCCAGACAGATCCACTCAAATGTGGCCAACTGCCTTTCCACAGAGGAGCCACGCCAACGGGAAGGAGGGTGCCTCAGCACATCGTGCCGCAGGGACCTGCCATCCCGGGAAAGGGCGGGCCGCGACCCCAGCCTCACACCACGCCTGAGTGGCAACCCAGAAGACCCTGGACCTAGAGGTATAAGCTTCCAGAAGAAAACACAGAGAACCTGGATGACCCTGGGGTAAACAGAGATTCCTCAGGACACAAAAGGTATTCACCGAAAAAACGGGTGATACGCTGGGCTTCATAAAAACTGAAAATGTGTTCTCGTCAGAGAGATGTCAAGAAAGTGAAAAGTCAAGCCACGGCCTGAGATATTGGTAAATATGTAAAAACAAGCATTTTGAAATTATAAAAATATCCACAGTGCATGTCGATCTGACAAGAACCAGATGCAGACTACATGAGGGCTTCGTAACCAACACGGAAAAGAAGGTACTCCCAGTGGCCAGGGGTATAGAGAGGTGCTCTACTCCCTATCAGGAAACTGTAGGTTAAAATAAAAATATCACAAAATTCCTGCTGGAAGGGCTAGAATTACACAGACTCCAACACGGAGTGCTGGCAAGGATACGCGGCTGCCGGAGCGTGACGCCATGCACCTGCCTGAAGAACAGCAATTCCTTCCACGTGAAACGACGTCCTGCTCTGGGGCTCAGAAACTCCACTCCCAGGTACAAACCCAAGAGGCATGAGTCGTCTATGTGCACAAAAAAGACGGGCAGAAATGTGTTCACAGAAGTTTTGTTTGTGATATTGGCCAAAAGCTTAGAAAACGCATCACCAAGAGTCTGGAGAAGCGAATCGTGCTGTGTTCACGTTATCAGAAACTGTGGGTCAGGCGAAAACACAGATGAGACCCGGAGGCATCACCCCGACTGACGCGAGGCCGACACAGAAGGCTGCGTGTCCGCGATCCCACCTCGGCAGAGCCGGGGAAGGCCCTCTGCTCTAGGAAGCGGGAGCCAGGTCATTGCGGGGCCGCGGTGGGAGAAGGGGGCCCGAGGGAGCTGTGTGCAGAAGCCTGCTCTGTTGACGTGCTGGTGGGTTCTTTGTACAATGTTTTCCTGTGTGCACTTAAGATAGTGCATTTTTCAGAAGAAAGGAAGGAAGGGAAGCAGGGAGGAAAGAAAACAACAAGAAGCAGACGTAAGTCACAAGCACCAGAGCCTCGTAGAGCAGAAGTGGCCACCCCCTCGTCTGCACCGAGTGGCAGCAACACCGTGAACCACACACTGCCAAGGGCTTCCACGTTCCTGTAGTCACCACACGCGTGGATTCCACGCTAAGAACAACCCAGACACAGGGTGTGCCCAGCAGAGGGCAGATCGGGACAGGCACACCCTGGGAGAGCCTGAGTGGCTGGTGCTCAGCACTGGCCCCACCCAGAGCACGAGTCTCTCCCAGAGGGTGGGGATGGGGTTCAGGGACAAGGGCGAGGGGCAGGGGGGCGCAGGTGCCAGGTGGGCGGCCAGGCTGGGGTAGGGGTCCCTGTCCACGAGGTAGAGGCTGCAGTGTCAGAGGACTTGTGTCCCTAAGGACAGAACTGTTCTCCTCAGCTCCCGAGGCCGAAGGAGCTTTGAGCTGGCCTGGGTCACCACGAGTTCACCACAGGCAGAGGGGCCCGCGCCCAGAGCAAGAGAAGCAGCCCAGCCGCTCCAGGGACGCCTGCCTGAGAGCCCACAGGACGACCTGGCCACTGCAGGGGAGAACGCCCATGGAAGACCCCCACAACCTGCTAGGTCCACCCTGCACTCCCCAGGATGCCAGGAGCCACCTGAACTCCTCAGGCCAGGCCTGGGTGGGGGCTTTGGCAGGTGGGGTCCTCAAAGAAGGGGGTGGCCACAGCCCTGCCCTCTGAGGGCATCCTGACCTGGGTGCTCCAACCCCCACTCAGCACGGGGCCCTGGGAGGGGCCGGCTGGGCCCAGTTCCAAACTCAGCCTGGGCAGGCGCCACCCTCAGGCCTCAGAGTGGCCACGGGGAGGGTCTGGGGCCTTCAGGGCTGGAACCACAGACCCCAACCCCAGGAGAGACAGGTGACAGGACTCTGGAGACAACACACCCACCTGCTCTTACCAGGGGAACGACAGACATCCCTGGCCACACACAGACACAGCCCACAACCCCCCACATCCTACAGTCCCGCATACACCCCAGGTGAGGTGTCAGACCTGTGGCTGCGGGACAGGCGGCGCCCTGCAGGCAAGGCATACATGAGGCCCTTCCCGCTCTGTGGGCTTGCTCTGGAGACAGCTGGGGCACTGCCCCTGCACAAGGCCGGTGGACAGCCCATGGAGCTGAAGGTCCACAGAGCCCGAGTCCCCGGCCCCTCCTGACCTCTGCCCCGACCTACCCACTCTCCCTCCTTCCCTCCTTCAACCAACCACACACGGGCCATGGCCCTGAGGTGGGAGGGGCTGCCCAGGCCTCAGAAGGGCAGAGGTATGAGGAATGGGCACCTCAGGGCTCCGGGATCCTCACAGGTTCCAGCCAGCCCTGGGGTCCTGGTGGGGGCACCAGCAAGGCCGTGAGAGATGTGTCCAGGAAGAAACAAGCACATGTTCCATGCACATCCGTGAGCCAACCTCTCCCACTAACCCAGGTGTGTCCGCCTCACCGAGACCACCCGAAACATCTGATTCCCCACACGCTGCCGGGACAAGGACAGCGGTCAGCAGGAGCGGGCTGCCTGGATGTTTGGGAAGCGGGGGGGGCCGGCCAGTCAAGGGGAATCCCCGGCACGGCACGGTCCTCGCATCCCCATGGGGCCTCCTGGGGCATGGCGCGGGCAGCTCCTGGGAACCCACGATCTGGGGAGACAGGCACCTGGGCCAAGGTGTCCAGGGAGTCTTCAGAAAAGGGACACCACCCCCCACCCACCCTCTCTAAGAACCCTCTACGGGAGCACCTTCCCACTTCCCACCTCACACCTGGGCCCCTCCCAGATGCTCCCCCGTGACCTCGCTTGGCCTCTCCCAGCTCCACTCTCTCAAGACATGGATCCACTCTAGGATCACACACACACGTGCACACACACACACACGCTTGCTGCTCTGAGCTCAACCTGGGCCTGGCTGTGTGGCGCCTGCTCACTGCTGCATGCCGGACCCAGGACGGTGCTGGGCCCAGGACAGGCGGCTGCAGAGCGAGTGGGCAAATGAAGAGCAAGGGGTTGCTGAGGGGCAAACCACTCCCCGGGCGCAGAGCCCGCAGCTGGTGACGGCGGAGGAAGCCACGGCTGCCCGAACCCCAGCCCCAGCAGGACCCACGCAGCCAGCCCCAGAGGCCTCAAAGGGTGAGCGCGTGCTAGACTGTGGTTGATGTGTGTGCCCACACGTGTGCCCACGTCTATCTGCTTATGTGCCCATGACCGACATCGGTGTGTGTCCACGTGGTATCATGTGTATGCTGTGATATCCGTGTGATGCCCATGTGTACCGTGTGATATCCGTGTGTGCCGTGACATCTGCATGTCCCCGTGTGGCCCATGTGTGCTGTGACATCCACATGTGATGTCTGTGTAGAGTTCACGTGTGTGATGTCCGTGTGATGTCTGCGCAGGCCTGAGACCCATGTGTGTGCTGTGTGAGGCTGTGGGTGCTATGACATCTGTGTTACCTGCGTGTGCCTGTGTAAGGCCCACATGTGTGTTGTGACGTCCATATGTGATGTCTGAGGCCCACACGTGTGCTGTGGCATGTGGGACATCAGTGCAGGCCTGTGTGAGGCCCACATGTGTGCTGTGACATCCGTGTATGATGTCTGCATGTGCAGTGATGTCTGCGTGAGGCCCATGTGTGCTGTGGTGTTGTATGTGATATCTGTACAGGCCGTGTGCGCTATGATGTCCATGCAGGCCGGTGTGAGACCCACGTGTGTACTGTGACATCTGTGTGAGGCTATGTGCTGTGACATCCGCGTATTATGTGTGTGCCCTTGAGGTCCATGTGTGTGCTGTGACGTCCATGTGTCATGTCTGTGTGTGCCCATGCGGTCATGTGTACTGTGGCATCTGTGAGGCCACGTGTGCCATCCGTGCAGGCCTGTATGTGTTCTGTGACGTCCATGTGTGATGTCAGTGTGTGCCGTGCTGTCTGTGTGAGGCTCACACGTGTGCTGTGGTGGTGTGATATCTGTGAAGGCCAGTGTGAGACCCATGTGTGTGCTGTGATGTCTGTGTGAGGCTGTGTGTGCTGTGACATCCGTGTGTGCTGTGACATCCGTATCTGCCCGTGTAAGGCCCACATGTGTGCTGTGGCGTCCACGCACATAGGGCACACAGCCTGGGATTCCTGGGCCCTGGCGCCTGTGTTGCACTCAGTCCTGTCCTGGGTTGGGACCAACACTTGCAGCTCCACCCTGCCCTGGGCCTCTCCTTCTGGGCACGGCTGAAAAGCAGCAGCGCCAGACACAGGGAGGGGCACAGGCGCGGAGCTGTGGCTGACGCACCGAGTCCGATGATGCCCAAGGTCTCCCCACGGATCCTGGCGGCGCCGGACGCCACCTCGCGGATCTGCTCGACGCTCTGGACTCGCGTGCCCTCCCGCAATGCCTGGTGCAGCCAGGTGGCCCGCCGGTACAGGTTCAGGATGTGGCACAGCGTCGAGTCGGCCGTCTCCTCCACAGACGCTGCAGGCACATTGCAGACGGCGATGCCTGTGGGGACAAGGACACGGCGGTCACCCCCAGGCCAGGCCCAGCCTCCGAGAGGACACCAGGGCTACCGTGGCTGGAGCAGGTTTGAAGCTTCCCGAGGAAGAAGCCAAAGGCCATGTCCCCAAGGCCACCCTGGGAGGCCACGAAATGAATGCACATCTCCCAGGCCGGGGCGTGAGATGCTGCCCTGACCCCTCCCAACTCAGCACTGGAGCCAGGCAGAGACAAACACGTCTCCCCGCGTCACCTGGCTGCCCTGATTCCTCCAGGGGGACCCTGCGGGGAGGCTGCAGCCAGGTCAGAATCTGGATGCTGGCCCCACCTGCACACCCCTCCATGGACATCCGCACATGTCCTCAGGCCTCCCCCAGGCCAAGCCAGGCCCCCGCAGCCCCTTCCGCCCTCCATGCCCTACACCCCACAGTCAGCAACACGGAAGCTGGAGCCATTCCTGGAAAGCACATCCACCCACTTCTCCCGCGTGGTCAGGCACGCCCATGTGGAACCCCTACTGCCCACTCCCCGCCTTGTCCCAGAGGCAGGCCCTTCCCCGCCAGGGCCCCTCCCTGAGCCTATTTATCCTCATCCCTGGCCTGTCCCTGGCCAGCGCCTCCTCTGCACGGCACTTCCCGCCCCATTCAGATGATTGCACTCCTGCGTCTGACTGGCCGTCCAACGGGCCGTCTGTCTCTCTGGGGAGGAGGAAGGGGCAGGAGGCCAGGACAGGGCTGCATTCATATGCCCAGAGGCTGGACAGGACCGTGTGGTTCCGCAAGGGGTTCCGAGGGTCGGGAGGGGGCCTGACGTGGGGCAGCGAGGGCAGGCGCTGCACAAGGCCAAGGGTGGGATCCCATATCGCCCCAGACACAACTCACTTGGACGTAAAAACGTTAAACAAGGGAGACTGAGGGAGAGCCAAGCCAAGCACCACACGAGACTGGAAGAAAGGCCTCCTGACTGTGGGGCGTCGGAGCGTGGGCCAGATCCCAGCGGCGCCCCAGACTGTCCCTGGCTGAAGAACAGAGCCCGGGCCTGGGAAACGCCACAGGCAACGGAGATGGTAAACAGCAGGGGTCGCTCAGAAAGCACCAGGCCTGCGCCCGACACCGCACAGCCGGGACTGCGCCCGACACCGCACAGCCGGGCCTGCGCCTGACGCCACAGCCGGCCTTTCCCAGGATGCTGCCACAGAGACAAAGGCAGGAGGGCGCTGGCACATGGCTTTGGCCCATGGGCACCGGCGGAAGCAGCAGTGAGCCGAGATCGCGCCACTGCACTCCAGCCTGGGCAACAGAGCGAGACTCCGTCTCAAAAAAAAAAACCAACAAAAAAAACCCACAACAGACGGAGCCTGGCAGAAAACAGAAAGTGTGCTCCCCGCAGGACGGCCAAGCACCGCCCTGAGTTTGTTCTAATGAGTGTGCGTGGTGCAGACACGTGGGCACGTTCCGTGTGCGTGTAGGTGTACGGGTACAGACGTGCGTGTTCTGTGAGTGTTCCATGTGCTGAGTACATGAGCATAGGCGCAGACATGTCTGCGTGTTCTGTGTGCTGTGTGCGTGTTCCGTATGCTAAGTGCACGTGCACCGGTGCAGATGTGTGTGCATGTTCTGTGTGCGGAGTGTGCATGTTCCGTGTGCTGAGAGCACGTGCACGGGAGCAGATGTGTGTGCATGTTCTGTGTGTTGAGTGTACATGTTCTGTGTGCTGAGTGTACGTGTTCTGTGTGCTGAGTGTCCATGTTCCGTGTGCTGAGTGCACGTGCACGGGTGCAGATGTGCGTGTTGTGTGTGTGTGTTCCACGTGCTGAGTGCATGCGTATTGGGTTGTGACACACCCCGCTGTTCCCGCCGTGTCTTGGGACAGAGACCTATGAGCCCCATTACAGCCACACTCTGACGCCCCTGCCCCTCCCCCCCAGGGCCCCGGCACCCAAGCAAGGGGCCCCGCTAGACATGCAAGCAGGCCTGTGTGAAGTCGCAGCTGGATTTCCTACTGCCCAAAACGAGAGGAAGTGCCCCGAGGTGAGGCTCTGTGAGGAACAGAACGGCTGCAGCCTCACGCTGGCCCTAGATGGGACTGCACGCCACAGCCAGCCACACCAGGCGATGTGCAACGGGGTCCTCGGTGTGGCAGTGAAGCCTCCATGGATGAAGCAAGACGGGATGGAGCTCTCATGAATGGGGACAGGAGATAATTCGGAGCCGGCCTACCTAAATCCCCGGCCGACTTGATGTCAATGTTGTCAAAACCACTGCCGATCCGGACGATGATGCGGAGGGCTTTGAACTTCTCCAGGTCCTCCCTGGTGAGTGTGATGGTGTGGTACATCAGGGCCCCCACGGCCTCGTTCAGGACCTACAGCGAGGAGAAAACACACGGGCTGAGCCCGGCGCCTGCAGAGCCTCAAGCTTGGCCTTCGGGGGTGAGGCTGAGCCTGGCTGGGAAACTAGTCTGTGGCCCTCAGGCTCTGTTCCCCAAGCACCAGCCTGGACACTGGGGGAGGCCACGTGAACACCTCCACACCATGCGCTACCCCTCAACCCCTGCCCAGGCATCCCGAGTCCCAGCAATTCCTGCCGCAGCGTCCTCAGCCATGCGTAGGCTGCAGGCTGGCACTGGTCAGAGTCACCTGCTTCCCACTGTGGCGGCTGAGATGTTTCCTTTTGAGTGTGCGCCCCACCCTGAGACTCTGCCCAGCCTTGTGGAAGAAATGGGGTTGCACCAGGCAAGGACACAGGACGGGGGGTGCAGTCACACCCAGGAAGGATGCTGAGCAGGTGCGGCTGGGCGGGGGTGGCCGGGGCACCTGAGACCTGCGGGTCCAGGGGTGTGGGTAGAAAGTAGTAAGTCCCCGGGGCACACAAGCACATGGGCAGAGACAGGGGCCACCCAGCCACAAGGACACCACCACAGGAGCACACACTACCCCCGTGTCGCCTGAGAACCCGCCCAGAAATGCTGCCCACAGCGGGCACAGCATGGCTAGCAAGGCTTGGGTTTGAGCTATGTTCGTAATAGTCATGCCTGTAATTTCAGTTTCCATGACAAATTCTAGACCGGAACGAATTCCGACAAATGCAGACCTGGCACACACCACAGCAGCCCAACCCTGGCGCCTCCACTCAGCCAGCACCAGGTGTTGCTGTGGTCACCGCCAACCCCGCCCTACCAAGGGCTCCCAGTTACCCCCAGTCCAGGGAGAGTGGGGCAGCGTGGGGTGCAAAGGCACATAGGTGGAGAAAGTGCCCTAGGCAGAGCCATGTGCGGCACTGGGCACAGGGTGGGGGTGTGTGTGCACCACCTGTGCATCTACCCACACCTGAAAACACCCACCCACACTCGCGCGTCCCACACTCACGCATCCCACACTCGTGCGTGACAACGCCCACCCGTGAATGCAGAGAGGCTCTATGCAAACAGCCACGGCTCAGGACACCAGGACGCGCAGGACTCGTCCACATGGGCACGTCTGAGTCCCGGGAGACACCACTGAGCCTCCCGTGAGGATGTGACTCCCACCCGCCCCCTGCCAGCGGGGCCCCAGGTACTCCTGACCGACCAGCACCACGGGCTCAGCAGAGCTCGCTGGGGCCTAGGCGGCGTCTTTCCCTCCCTTCCCACCGTACGTGGAGCCTGCCGATCCTGGGCGGCAGTGCCTGGGTTGCTGGACCGCAGGGTGTCCTGTGGGAGCTGACCCTGCCCGGGCCCTGGGTAGAGCAGTTGGTGTTGGGCAGACACACGTGAGGGGGGTGTGAGGGCAGCCCCCAGGAAGACGCTCACCACCCAGCTGCAACCCCTTCTCCTCCAGTGCCCGGACCTCCAGCTCGGCCAGAACCGATGGTTCCCTTTGAGGCTGGCACAGCCTCCCTTCCCTCCTGCCCACTGCAGGGGACCTAGAGGACAGGACCATGGGGGACCACACAGACCAGGGCCATGGCAGAGGCTGGGCAGCAGGGCAGGGGAGCCCCAGGTTGGCCTGGGCGTTCTCCAGGATGACGGGAAAGTTGGAGCAGCTCGGCCGCAGGAGGCAGGGAGGCATCTGCCCAGATCGCAGAGGAATGGGTGTAGCACTCATCAGTTCATGGACAGGGCTGATGGCTGCCCCGGGCCTCCTGGGAAGGCTTTGAGGCTGCACACGTGCAGACCCCTGGTGCACCAGACAGTGTGGATGTGGGACCCCTGGTGCACCAGACCTGACCAGATGTAGTGAGGACTGGGTGAGGCCACAAGGAGGACAGCACGGGCAGAGGCCAGCAGTGGGTGACTGGTGCACGGCCGTGGGTAGGGGCGAGCGGTGCAGCCAGAAAGACCCCCGCGCTGTGTGGATTGGAGATGGGCGCCCACACACCCAGGAGGTGCCTTGGGCAGCTTGGCAGAACAGCTGCAGCTAAGAGGGAGTCGCTTGCAGGTGAAGCTTCGTCGGCACCCACTGTGGGCAGGAGGGGCTGTGCATGCGAGTGGTGGGCAGAGGCGCAGTGGGAGATGGGCCATGGGGTAAGGGACAGGCCTGGCGCCAGACATGAGCCCGGGGGCCCTGCCTGGACAGCTGGACATGCAGGGGCTGCTCCCACGGTGTGCACACAGAGGCTCGGCATGGACAGGCTGGACAGACCCACACCACACGGGCTTGTGTGTACGCAGGCAACAGCTTGCTTTCTCTGAGCATCGGCCATCGGCCATGGGCTTTGAAAAGTCGATTCTGAACTGCGGCACATCGCCTCCCGCACATTCGGATCAGACGGTGATCAATTCATGTGAATATGAAGAATATTCATGTGTGCGGCCTTAAGGTTGCTTCCCGCGTTGGCTCTTCCGAGATGAACATTTTTTTTACCTCATCGAGATAAGTTCTAAGACGAAACGTGCGCCGGCCAAGGGCCTCCTTCGGGCTCTGGGCGCGCTCAACCAGCTGCAGAGGCTGAAGACCTAGCTGAGCTGTGAAGTGCAAGCTGCCCCCTGACGAGGCTTTACTCACTTGCCCGGGCATGTTTCTTAATACACTTTTTTCAGGACTTTGCCCTTTTCCTTACTGAATATATTTTTAACAACGTATTAGGTGCATGCGTTCTCACTACAGGAATCTGAACACGGCTCGGAGACCCCATGCCCCGACTGCAGCCACGTACCAGGTTGGCCTGTGCTCAGCTGCAGTGCCAGAGCCGCTAGCGTGTACGCTTTACCACGTGGTGGCCACGTCATCCACAGGTCCATAGGCCAGGGTGCCACAGCGGCTCATCAGCCTCGGGGTCTACCTTCCTGTCCCCCTCGTGGCTGCCACGTGGCTGCTCCACCCTGCTTACTGCCTCGGTCTCCCACGGAGGAAGTCTGCAGGAGGTGGGTACAGCCAGGTGTGCTCCTTTAGATCAGGACCCAGCAGCCTCCCAGAAGCCACCCCCAGCCAATACCCACTGGTGTGTCCCCTCCACCGCCAGGGGCTCAGCTCCCCTCTGCTAAGTGCCCTCAACTCCAGTGCTCAGAGCAGGCCTGGGGAAAGCCGGGTGCCCAGGAAGCTCGGCTGCCACCGGGCTAGAAACAGACCCCAGGACACCAGGAGGCTGCCAGCTCTTGGGGGTCAGGAAGGGGCCTGCCAGGCCCAACTCCGGCCATGCAGTTCCACCACCTGCTTCTCCTGTGCTCAGGACTCAGTGACATCGCACTTACCTTTCCAGACCTCGTGCACAGGTGTGGCTTACTCTGAAACTGCTGCTCACATCAGGTCACCATCATGGCAGATGCTTCTCTACGACACGCAGCCACATGTAGGCCCAGGGCGGGGCTGGGCCGAAGACCGCAGGTTTCAGATTTCCAGAGAAACTGCCAAAGCACCATCGAGACTGGCATGGCCGTTTCTGTTCCATATGAAGGGACAGGCTCAGGCTCCCTCAACATGGCTGGTGCAGGGCTCGGTGCAGGCCAGGCCAGTGGTTACCGGCGGTGACTGCTGCACCCATGAGAACCCGGGAGGGGCACCCCGGTTCTCATACATCGCTCTGTCTATACCCAAACGCCACTGCCCTCATCCATTTTCCGCTGGGATTTTTCTGTTTCCTACTGATTGGGAGGAGTCTCTGAATACACAGACTTTTACATTTATATTACAGACAGGATCTCGCCGGACTGCAGTGGTGTAATCATGACTCACTGCAGACCTGACCTCCTAGGCTGAGGCTATCCTCCGGCCTTGGCCTCTGGATACGCTGGGATTACAGGCACGGCCCCTGCGACCAGCTCTGATTATATCAGACATTCACCCTTAGACTGGCACACAAACTGAAAATGCCCAACCCCTATCTCTCACCTGTTTTTATTTTTAAAATTTGTTTTACTAGGTCTTTCTTTTTTTCCTTTTTTTATTTAAGATGGAGTCTCGCTCTGTTGCCCAGGCTGGAGTGCGGTGGCACAATCTTGGCTCGGTGCAACCTCTGTCTCTTGGATTCCAGAGATTCTCCTGCCTCAGCCTCCTGAGTAGCTGGGACTATAGGCATGCACCACCACGCATGGCTAATTCTTGTATTTTCAGTACAGACAGGGTTTCACCATGTTGCCCAGGCTGGTCTCGAACTCCTGACCTCAAGTGATCCGCCCGCCTCGGCCTCCTAAAGTGCTGGGATTATAGGCTGAGCTGCTGTACCCGGCCTTGCAATGTTGTTATTTCTAATTGCCATTTAATCAAAGTGACCTTTTCCTCTACAGTATCACATTTTCTACAGAAAGAGTTGTTATTTTCTGTGTTGTCATAACCTCAGGGAGTAAACACATTCTCTTGCAAATGTTCCTCTAACTGCTCTTCATTCAAACACGGGCTGCTTCTGTGGGCAGTGAGCATCTGCGGTTGGGGGAGCTGCTGCCATTCCCGAATGGCTACCCCAGGGGCCCCAGAATTCACCGACTCCCCAGTTCTCAGCCCACACACCTGAAAAGCCACTGCCCGAGTCCTTGCGTCCTGCTGGGTGGGGCCGTCTCTGCTCCTCTGTCCTGTCCACTCTTGGTGGTACCAACACTGTCCAACTGATCTTCTAGACCTGAGAGTGGGTCCTGGGATCTGGACATGCACTGCGGGGGCCGCACTGCACCCAAGGCTCAGCTGGGCACTGGGCAGTCTGCCTGGAAACAGGCCCCAGTATACGGCATGGGGCATCCGTCCTCTTGCTCCTAGAAGCCACTGTGACCCGGTATTAAGGTCAGGGCCCACGGCAGCCTGTCTCTGCGCTGGCTGCCAGCAAGAGACCAAGGGGCTTGTCCCGCACTCCATCACCATGACAACGCCAGCCTGTGTGTTTTTCCCGGTCACCATGACAACGCCAGCCTGTGTGTTTTTCCCGGTCACCATGACAACGCCGGCTTGTGTGTTTTTCCCGGATTTCTATCACTTTGTTTCCTGCACCTCTGTCCGGCGGGGCTTTCTGGCGGCCTCCCTACCCCCAAGGCCGGGAGATGCTTGTCTTGCAGGAGTGTGACTGTCCAGCTGGCTGCAGGTCGTTGCGGACCACTGCGTCCTGTGCCCTCCCAGAGCTGCCCTGCCGCTCCAGGCCCCGCAGCCCACACTGGACGCAGCCTCCGGGCTCCAGGCCTTCCTTTTTCTTGCTCAGCAGTTTCATCAGATGTGCAGTGCCGGGCTGAAAACCCTTCTCCTACGGCAATTCCAAAGCAGGCGGGGGGTGCTGCGCTGAGTCTGTGTCCTCGTGGGTGACATCCCCCCACCCACAGTATCAGTAAAATCCTAATCCTGAACCTTAACAGCAGGGTGCCTCCCAGGCCCCGACATTCTTTCTGTTCTTCCTACGACCGCACTGACGGTATCACATTCTCTCCCTCCACGGCACTCAGACAGCAGCGACATCCAAACAGCTATGCGGGAAGTTTCTGCCCCAGGAGGCACAAATTCCTGACTAACAGTGACACATGAAGCAGGCGCTCGGTTTCCTCCCACGCCAAAGCCTGGAGACAGGTGGCCCGCGGCTCTCCACAGCCACGACGGTCCCTGCCTCCTGTCGTGTTGCTCCACGGTTCCCAACACGGCTCCACTCACGGTCCAAGGTGGCTACCCAGGCTCCGCCCATCACAGCTGGCTTCCGGCCAGCAGGGACAGGGAAGGGATGGCAGGGAGAGGCCCTGCTCCCCTCTGTGCTGGAGTTCAGTCCTTTGGCCACCCCTAGTGGCAAGAAAGCACGGGCAGCCAGCTCCTCCTGCAGGACCACACACTGTGAAACAGGGACTCGGCATCCAGGCAGCCCCTTCAGATTCCACACGGAGCCCCGGGAGGCTGTGGCTTCTCTTCCCATCTCTAGCTTCTGCCATTTCCGTGTGTCTTCACACTTCCTGTTTTTATTAGATTTTCACTCATATTTTTAATTTCAAGCTCTCCTAGTTCCTGGGGGCTCCTTTCTGCGGCGCCTGCTCTCCTTCTGGTTAGGGGCTGCTTCAGACCCCTCCGGGATGCCAGGACCGTTCCCAACACTCATCTCTTCCAAGAATCCAGCTGCGTCCCCTGGGATGGTTTTCTGTTTACCTTGTCCTCTCTCTGCCCTGGGCTGTGTAGTCTGGGTGGGGAGCAGGAAGTCTGTCTCACGCCAGGGCCCACGCCGGCCGGACCCCGACCACTGATTTGCATTTTATATGAACCTGGCAAGGCAGTTTGGGATCACTGCAATTCTCGAAAAACATCTGTTTTGCCTTAGTTTTCCAGTTCGTTGGCAAAACTTGTTTCAGTGTTGCTTACAATATTGAAAGTTTTCGACAAGCCTCTTTTTCATTCCTACGTGTATATCTTTAATACAAACAGTTTCCCAATGAGAAAACTGTACCTAACCAAGGGCATTGTCAAAACCAAGCTGGTGCCACATGACTCCCTCAGGTGTGCACCACGGGCAGTTCACCCACAGCCCCTTGCACGTGTGTGGACACACTCATGTGACGTACCCACACGCTGATTCCGGACACTGGCCCGCCGGCAGATCCCCCACCTGCACCCCGGGCAACTGTTTCCATCACGCTTACCCTGTCACCTGGGGATGAATAGATGATACAACGTGCACCCCTTGAAACCAGCTTCTTCACTCACCACTGCGCTGCCGAGATCACCCAGGGGTGGCAGGGACCCAGAGTTCACGCCTGTTGCTGAGGAGGACACTAAGGGAGGTGGCCAGTGTTTGCCTGGCCACTCACTCACTGAAGGGCAGCCTGCGGGATGGTCTTCTGGTTTGGGCTATGGTGAGTTAAGCTGCCAGGGAGCATGACGTGCAGGTCTATGTGTGGACGCGCATCCGAGTCTCCGGGATAAAGGTGTGTGGCCGCTGGGCGTGGGGATGCGGCACATTCCGAGGCTCCGGGATAAAGGGCTGTGGCCACTGGGCATGTGGATACATGTTCCAAGTCTCCAGGATAAAGGTGTATGGCCGCTGGGTGTGTGGATGCGGCACGTTCCGAGTCTCCGGGATAAAGGAGCGTGGCCGCTGGTCTGCATTACAAGCACACATCTAACCCCACGAGAAACCGTGAAGAATCTCCCAGAGCGAATGCCCCGGCAGAGCTCCGGGCAGATTATGCACATTTTTAACATCAGGTTGTCTTCTGTTCGTTTTGGAAATGCTTTTGCGGTCGTCATCATTTCCAGCCCCTTCCCTGTCTTGTTCTGAAGTTTCTGTGAGGGAGACCCTTCCTCATCTCGCCCTCTCCCGAGTTCCCGCGTTCCCTCCTTCCTTCCTGTCCACTGCTGCCCGGCCCGCTGGTAAACCCGCCCCTCAGTTCCCCCGTTCAGCTTCAGCATTTCTCAGATTCACATCTCATGTTCTCCCCTGACACTGCTACGCCCCGTTTCAGGGTCATCAGCTCTTCGTCGGGTGTCTGGCCCAGCCTTCCGGGGGCTGTGCTGGGGTGACTGGCCCATGGGCAGCACAGGGAGCTCCTATGGGCCCGCGCCGCTTCCCTGGCTGGTGGTTTTGTGCATCTCCTTGATTGCCTGGTCACCTCTGCTTGTCTCTGATGGACCCCGCGCCAGACGACGATTTCTAGAAATGACCTGAGGCCTGGGCTAACGCTATCTTCCTCTAAAGGGGCCGTCCCATTTCCTCCTGCACCTGGGGTCGGCAATGCAGGGTCCCTGAAAATCCATATTCAAGGTTTCTCAGACGTCAGCAGGCTGAGTGCCGACCGTGTGGCGAGTCAGAATCCAGGTCACCCTCACTCCAGGTGTCACCTTCCAGGCCATGGATATCCCGGCAGGGTCCCGCACCCAGCAAAGCCAAATTCAGCCTCTCAGCCACTTCTTCCTGAACAGCCAACGCCCCAGGCCAGAGTTGGCGAGGCTTGCCCGTTCCTGCAGGCTCCGGGCCTCTCCGGGTCGCGGCCTGGGCCTGGCCCTATCCCGTGAGCTCCTGTGGGTCCAGATTCTTCATCTGTCTTCAGGAAAAAGCTGCTCTGAATCACGGATCCCTGGCTACGACGAGCCGGACCGACCTAGCCCTCATCACGGAGGAGCCTGTGGAGCTCCTGAGCAAACATGAATCAGGAAAGCTGCCCAAAGGCTGCCCACTGCTGGACCACAGCCGGGTCGTGGGCAATGCCGAGACTGCTGCGCAACTGAGGCGGGGGGGAAGCACCTCACTCCACCCCCGCCACAAAAGGACCTGCTCCCTGGGAAAAACTGAAAATGAATCAAGAAGCCACAGGGAAACCCCGTGTCCACCCCCTGACGGGGCTCAGGGCAAACCCCGCGTCCACCTCCCGACGGGGCTCAGGGCAAACCCTGCGTCCACCTCCCGACGGGGCTAGGGCAAACCCCGCGTCTACCTCCCGACGGGGCTCAGGGCAAACCCCGCGTCCACCTCCCGATGGCGCGGGGCGACTGGGACAGAGGCCGCTCCTGCCCCAGTGGCACACAGACCCGCTTCGGCCTGGGCTTGCTGTGCTCCCGTCCCTCCCCACTCCCCTCCAGCATGTGGTTCTTCCAGCCCCACGCCAGCACGTGGTGGTACCTTCTCGTGGATCTCCTGCGTGGACTGCGCGTCGCAGAAGGCCACAGTGGCCACGTCCTTCAGGATGGGCATCTCCACTGTGCAGTCCCGGCCGTCCAGCAGTGCCACCAGGGGCCGCGGGTGCAGGGGCCCGTTCATGATTGGAGGTCGGACGCCTGCAAGACAGAGGCAAGTGCTCAGCTTCGCATCACTGCAGCCCTGCGGCCACAGCCGACTCCACGCCACCCACCGTGCACGGGCCAACGAGGGCTGACGCCCAGGGGTTTTCTATCCTATACGTTTTGCTATTTGTAAAAAGTAAATTAAAAATCCACGGGAAAGACAGACTCGTGTGTGCTTCAGTTCACCGACTCGAGTGGACACAGACTGCAGACACCCACCACCATCCTCCTTGGGCGCCGGGCCTCCAAGACCCTCCCAGACTCTCCAAGGCCCCTCCGAGACCCCGAGACCCTCCCAGACTCTCTGAGATCCTCCCAGACCCTCTGCGACCTTCCCAGGCCCTCTGAGACCCTCCGAGGCACTTCGAGATCCTCCAAGACCCCCCAAGGAACCTCCAGACCCTCCCAGGGACTCCAAGACCCTCCCAGGCCCTCCGAGACCCATCAAGACACCTCCAGACCCTCCCAGGCCCTCCCAGACCCTCCGAGACCCCAGGGCAGCTCCGTGAGGCAGGGGGACAGGAGGGACCCGGACACTGGAGAACACAGATGGCAGCACGGGCCTTTGGGAACACGGTTGTCCCTTTCTTGCCTGGGCTACCGTGTGGCTGCCCGGAATCCCTGATGGGGACACCAATGTTTCATGTGGGACGCCCCCCACGCTCTGCCTGGCATCACTTCCATTTACAGATTTGAAAGGAAAAGAAACAGAGCAAGGGAAGAAAAGGGCTAAAACCTATTAAAGTCCACTCTGTACCCAACCTTCCCAGAACGAGATGATTAAAGATCATTAACACCCACTCCTTCTGCGTATGACACAACTAAGCTTCACTGAAGCCAAGTGGAGAAATAAGGGCTCTGAGGCGTCACAGAAGCATGGCAGCGTCCAGGTACCACCCAATGGCCCCGTGCCGGGCAGAGAGCACCAGGCAGGGCCACCGTCAGGCCCATGGCAGCTGGGCAGAGGCAGAGCTGGGGCCAGGGCCCAGCCGGTCCACCCCTAAAGACCGGCCCCAGGAGACCAAGCAGCCTCCAGAACCGTTCGGCCAGCAGGAGGGGAGGTGCAGGACAGAACCAAGAAACAGTGACCCAGCAGGCCCCCAGTGGCCGCGGCCATAAGCACGCTCAGCCCAGTCTCCCGCCCCATCCACCTGCTGGTGAGTAGAGGCCGCCGAGCTGCCAGTATCCAGGAAGCAGGGAAGTGCCTCTTGGAACCCACGGCGAGAAAAGAAACGCTGGTGGACAGCCCAGGGATGCAGTGGGCCTGCAGGGGACAGGGCATGGGTCTCCACTGACCACCCCAAAGCCAAGGGCTCCCAGTACGGCTGGGCCCATGACCCTCCCACAAGGTCCTCACGCCCCAGCGTCCTCGGAGGAGCCACTGGCCATTCCGCCCACTTGCCTTCAAGACAGGAAAGGCACCAGGACCGGCCCAGATCCCGAGCATGGGGTCTGCACAGTCAAAACCGTGTCCTGGTTCACCTTTCCTTCATTCCCTCCGGACTGCAGCTGCCCACGAGCACCACAGGCAGCCGCCCAGCGACACTGCACACGGCCTCCCTCTGCACACGGCCTTCCTCCCCACTGTGCGTGGTGATTACTCCTCATGAGAGGAAAGGTTTATGTTGCTGTTTCTGAGTGAGTGGACAGACATCTGCTCTCAGCGTCCTTGGATTTCACTTCTGACAAGGAAGGCGTGGACACGCAGGACCACTGCAGACCACTCGGCTGTGTTGGAACTGACTGGGGGGACCCCCGTGTGCTGGAGGAGTGGGAGCCGGGTCCCTCAGTGGAATGGCCTGTGGGGACTCCCAGGTGCTGGGTGAGCGGGAACCGGGTCCGTCGTTGGAACTGCCTGTGGGGACTCCCGTGTGCTAGAGGAGTGGGAACCGGGTCCCTCGTTGGAACCGCCTGTGGGGACTCCCGTGTGCTGGGTGAGTGGGAACAGTGTCCCCTGGTGGAACCGCCTGTGGGGACTCCCAGGTGCTGGGTGAGCGGGAACCGGGTCCCTCGTTGGAACTGCCTGTGGGGACTCCCGGGTGCTGGGTGAGTAGGAGCCGTGTCCCCTGGTGGAACTGCCTGGGGGGACTCCCAGGTGCTGGGTGAGCGGGAACCGGGTCCCTCATCAGAACGGCTTGGAGGGACTCCGGGTGCTGGGTGAGTAGGAACCGTGTCCCCTGATGGAACTACCTGGTGGAACTCCTGTGTGCTGGAGGAGTGGGAACCGGGTCCCTCATCGGAACGGCCTGGGGGGACTCCCAGGTGCTGGGTAAGTGGGAACCGGGTCCCTCATCGGAACCGCCTGTGGGGACTCCCGGGTGCTGGGTGAGTGGGAGCCGTGTCCCCTGGTGGAACCGCCTGTGGGGACTCCCGTGTGTGGATGAGTGGGAACCAGGTCCCTCGTCGGAACTGCCTGTGGGGACTCCCAGGAGGTCTGCCTTGAATCATCGTGGACCCCAGGTGCTGGGTAAGTGGGAACCAGGTCCCTCGTCGGAACTGCCTGTGGGGACTCCCAGGTGCTGGGTGAGTGGGAGCTGGGTTCCTCAGCGGAACGGTGGGGAGGGAGGAGCAGGTGGAGACACGAGGCCCCATCAGGTTCAGGCACCCAAGGTGCCTCCTCACATCACCCACGAGCTGCCCCCGACCACCGTGCCAGCGTTCCCCTGGACAGCCCACCCATGCGGACGTGGGGACACTCAGGAGGCTTCACGTTCACACGGCCTGTGCTGAAGTAGGCTTTACAGCAATCCCCCAGCCCAAGGCTGTTTCCAGCCGCATGCACTTCCGGGCCAGAGAACACAGATCAACCATGAGGAACAGCTCCACCAGGGCCGCGGCCCTGCTCTTGGGCAGCCGGGTGGACACCTGAGATTTCCAGGGTTCCATGTGGGGCTCTGCCCTCCTGCTGGCGGCCTCCACCTGGAGGCCCTCCGTGCCTCTTGGACACTATCCGACAGAAACAGACAGCAGACAACACAGACAGGCCTGACAGCTGTGCTCTGCTGCCAGGTGTGCAGGAAGCCCTCCCTCGAGGGACGCCCGTCCTCGCCCAGAGCACACTTGGGGCCAGGTGGCAGCAGTCAGGCCCGACGCCTGCACAGCCCAGGACCCTCGACTTGATCCGAGGCAGTGCCTCCTCCACACGGTCGCAAAGAGACCGGCTGGCTTTGCCTGCCGCCGACGCCAGGAACTCCTACCAACCTGACATCTCTTAATATGGCCTCAGCTTCCACGACCATGAATTCGACTTTTCAAAGCTTTTTATCTTCAGGATCCCCAGGCAGAACCGCGTCCTGTCTCGGAGCCTCATCCCACGTCCTTAATTGTCTCGAGCCAAAGCGCTCAGGCTTCTGATCCACGGCAATCACTGAAGCCTGCGTCGGGGTCAAAGTCTTACTAAAAATCAAACACAAGAGACACATTAAAATGCCATCGAAGGTCCGACCAGAACTCACAGACTCCAGGGACCGCCTCAGAAGTGGACCTCACTGCATCTGCCACGCCCGGGGCTGCTGTCTGGGACCTACCTGGACTCGGGAGCCTGCTGCCAGCCAGGGGCCCCGGCTCCTGCCGCACACACGAGGGGCACTCACCCCGAGGTCGCAGTGCCAGGCCCGAGGCCGGGCCCCAGTGGCCCCTAGGCTGACTCTTGGGAACAGCCCCCCAGGGCTGCGGCCACCCCCACAGGCTCTAGCCGCACCCAGATGTCCCCAGTGTCCAAAAACCAGGGGGCGGAGGGCACAGGGTGTGTGCTATGGGCAGGGAAACTGCGGAAGGGCTCTGCCTCCTGTTCTGGAAGCTTCTATCTCATGTCACCGATTCCCGGGCCTCTGTGACCAGGCAAGGACGTGGAACTTCCCAGGAGCCACCGGGAGAGGAGCTGCTGGCTTTCCAGCATCCGGCCTGGTACTGCCTGCCCTGGGCCACGCCGGCTCCACCTCCGACCCTTGGTGCATCCCAGCGACATTCCCTCGATTCTCCCAAAAGCACGGCTCAGCTTTTCCTGACGGCTATGACCAGGGACTGGCGGGAAGCTGAGGGCATGAACTCTGATGGCTGAATGCACAGGGGCAGGGGGCACCTGAGGGGGCCAAGCCTTCCAGGAACGAAGCCCTGCAAGATAGAGGGTGCTAGGAGTGCACACGATCGCCCAGCCCTCGGGAGGGTGTCACTGAGCCACCCACACCTGACCCCTGCTCTGGCATGAAGACACAGCACAGGCGCTGACCCCAACGTGCAGCTGACATCAGGCTAACCAGGACAGGAGCCAGCTACCACCAGCCCAGCAGCGTGGCAGGCATGGGCAGAGACGACTGCCTGCCAGGCCAGGAGGGGCCACTCAGCCAAGCCTAAGACCCTGGCGGTGCGCCGTAAGGCCAACCCCTGCCAGAGGCCTCGCAAACAAATCTCCGCCCCTCAATTCCCTCTGCAGGATTCAAACATACAGGCCGACCGCCTCCAGCTTCCAGAGACACCATCACAGGGGCTGAGGTGTAGCCCCACGCACACAGCTCCCATCCAGGGTCCCCAACACCACTCCTCGTGGCAGGTGCTGTATGGGGCTCCCGATGGAGGGCCCAAGAGCAACACTGTGGAGTGGGATCCCACTGCCTGCGTCTGGGCCCCCCATGACCTGCGCTGCAGCCTCCTGCCCTGAAGGCCAGATCCCCCTGTGGCACCCGGATCCTGCATAAAAACAGAAACTAAAAGGACAGGAGAAAACCACCTGAATGTCACACTTCACCCACGAACCAGCCTGGCCAGGGGGCAAAGCACCACGCCACCCACGCCCAGTCAAACTCTCAACACCAGCCAGTACTCATCAATACTGCCCACAGCACCACGGCGCCGGCCGCTGCTCCTGGAGGCTCATCAACACCCCTCAATACCACTCAATGCTTATCAACACTGGCCAGTATGTACCCACACCCGTGTCTCTGAGGAGGAAGCAGATGTGGGAAGGCCACCCCAGCCCTCCTGAAAGGACTCTGCAGTGAGGAGGCTGTGAGCTCCCGAGCCGAGTAACCTGCGGCAGGACTCCTGTGGCCCTGCACTCCCTGGGGTGGCCCTGCCAGGGCCCCGTGCCACAGGGACCTCCTGTGGCTCCTTGTTCCAAGGCTGCCCCAGTTCAGGACAGACACCTGAGGCCCAGCACCTGGTTCTCCTCCAGGGGCCTGTCTCAGAAACAGCCCTGGGGCAGGTCTGCCCACCATCTGCACCATCCTGGGGCCACAGTTCACCCACAAAGCAGCCCCCTGCTGGGCCACACCTGCCCCACTGACAGCCAGCGTCCGAGTCCTGGAGCCGCCACCCAGGGTGACGCCGGAGGCCCTGGGCACCTCACGCCAGGGAGCTGACCTCCTACGGCCTTCCTGGCTGGCCGGTCAGGGTCAAAAGCTCCAGCTCTGTACCTTCCCCCCCACGCTCCGAGGTGAAGGCACTCGGCTCCCAGAGGGGCCTGTGCTGTCCAAACCCAGGACCCACACTGCTTTTCCTCATCAAAAACTCACAGCCACACACGGCTCTCAGCACAGCAACACAAGGACAGTCTCCAGGTTCTCACCCTGCAGATGCCTAACCTTACGTTATAAGAAAGCACTCAACAGACCCACGAGGGAAGTGAGTGCCGTGCACGTGGGACGCTTGCGCTAGCTTCCTATTTTCCTATAAAGCTAAGACTGTTCCAATATAAAAATACATTTTAAAGAAAATTCGGGTGAGGTGAGGGCAGCAGCCCCCAGGTTCTCTGGAGCCATCAAGTCCTGGGGTGGGGGCTGCACGGTGGCGGCCCGATGACCCCAGAACCTCTTGGCCACATGTCAACACCCTGTCTCTGGATACACATCACCAGCTGCTTGCTGGGTCCTCCCTCCTGTTGGCCGTGCCTGCCCACTCAGCCCTGAGCCACGTGTGTGCTGGGCATCAGTCCACTCTGGAGAGGGACCAGGGTTGCCCTGGCACACTGGGGGTCACCACGGGCTGGGACCTGCCCCCCCACCAGAGAGCCACAGTGGGTCTCTGGGCACTGGGGCTCCCAGGAAGTCCCAGGGGACCCCAAGATGTGCCAGGACCAAGCAGCTGCCCCCGTTCCTTCCCCAGCCTCGGCACCTGGTCCCCATCCCCGCTTGCTCAGACCCAGGCTCGGCAGCCACCAACCCTCCACGTGCCTCCACTGGCCAGCCCTGCTGGGCCAACTGGTCTGCTCCCCTCCCCCACAGCCTCTACCAGGACAGTGTGTCCCAAAAGCCCCTCCTCACCAACCTCATCTTCTTCCCCTCTCCACAGCAGCCCCTAAAGCCGCTGCCCAGGAAGGAGCTCCCCAACCACCAGAAGGGCACCCTCAGGCTGGGCGGTCTCACCGGCCCTCACCCTGCCCTGTCCCCGTAAGCCCTGATTACTCCGGGCTCGAGTGGCCATCTCATGACAAAGCTGTCCTGCCATAAGTCCCCAGAACAGCCATCTGGGCATTGGTGAGATGCCCCCCTTGGCTGTCCAGGCCTGGAGGCCCCTGTGCTGCCCAGCCAGGAGCTGACATGAACGAAGGCTGTGCACAGCCTGACCTGGAGCCTTCCGGTCCTGAGATACAGCCGCCTGCCACCCAGAGGGAACTGAGCCCCTGCCCTTCAACGGCAGAGAAGGCAGGCCCCCAAGAGGGACTACACAGCAGCGTGGAGCCACTGGGCTGAGAGCATGGGGCCACCAGAACCTCCCCCAGACAGACACTGCCCATCACCCACAGGCTGATACAGCGCTCCGCCGACGACAGCACCCCAGACAGACACCGCCCAAGTCATCCACGAGCCGTGACGGCACCTCCGACGGCAGCATCCCTGTGAGCCAGGAAGCCACCGTACTCCACAGGGCCTGCGGGGCCGCATCACAGCTCAGAGGACACAGCGTAGGGGCTGCGATCAAAGGCACGGATTTGCCAGCAAGATTCCTCTCCAGGACACCCGTGGAGCCGTACGTTTCCGTTTATTCAGGGAGCACATGCACGTGCCCTGTGAGCTCCAGGACTCCCAGAACACCACCTTCCTGGCTCCTACCACGAGTGGGGTACCAAGGCTACACTGTTCCTCTCCTTCTCAACAGGACACTCTACACACGACACCACTCGAGAGGCAGCCTCGGACGCCTCTGAGGCTCACGCCAGCCATGCAGACAGGGCAGCCCAGCAGCCCTCACACCACAGATGGGTGGCAGGTCAGGGTGACACGGGTGGCGGGGCAGGGTGGCATGGGCGGGCAGGGTGGCATAGGCGGGCAGGGTGGCATGGGCGGGCAGGGTGGCACAGGCAGGCAGGGTGGCATGGGCGGGCAGGGTGGCATAGGCGGGCAGGGTGGCATGGGCGGGCAGGGTGGCACAGGCAGGCAGGGTGGCATGGGCCACACCAGGCCTGGGGAGTTGATGGCGGTGCCAGGGGAGGGTGCAGAAGGGGCCTGGTCCCAACACCACCCACACCTCTCTCAGGGCTGTAGCCCCAACTCCTCCCCATCCAAACCAACCGGGCTTCCCTCAGGGCCAACCTCACTCTCCTTCAACGCACGTAAGAACTGGCACCGCCTGTTCTTGAGGCCTTGAGACAACTCAAGGTAAATGTTTGGCTTCACAAAAGGCCACCCAAGAGATTTCTGACTTTACAGGAAAAAAGTGAACGTTTCCTCGTGGGAGATACCACATGGAGTGTGTGGCTGGACGGGCTTCTGGAAGGGACGGTCAGTGACGCAGGTGGCATCTTGTGGGTTACCCCGACCCAGTGTGGGGGAGAGTAGTGGGCCCTGGCCACTGCAGCCGACAATGGAGGACCTGGGGGGCCAGACACTCCCAGCACAGAGCTCCTACCCACAACTACCAAAATCCAGCGACCACCAGAGGACCCCGGTACTCTGACCAGCGTTCCCTCGGGCGATGCAGTTCAACCACAGAACCCGGAGGACACCACCTGCTGCCTCCACCACCTCCTGGCCACCCCTGGGCCCTGAGCCAGGCCTGCACCGTCAGCACCACCCGGACGGAGCCCTCTCCAGCTCTGAGTGGAGTGGAAAACAAGAAGTCCTTCTAGAAGGAGAGTCACTCGGGTAAACACCTCACAGGGCACACGCCTTTGACTTGGGCACTGCGTGGGGAACGCCAGGGCACAGCCGGGCACAGAGCACTGCCTGAAGGGTTCTCAGCAACACTAGTGGTACCAGCCGTACGCCTCTTGGCTCAGGGACGCCACCATCAGCTCAGACCAGGTCACACTCTGGGGGCAGTGGCCACAGGAAGTTGAAAGGGCTAGTTACAGTCAGAGGAGAAAAACTGCCAGGCAAGCCAGGTGTGGCTGAACAGCCACCTCTGAGCCCCAAAGGAAGAGACTGGGCCTCTCGAGCCTGGGGCCCGTTTCCTGGAGAGCGTGACTACTTCTGTCCAGGGTTCCTCCAGAAAAAACTTATTAACAGTGACTGTTAACAGTGGCTGTCTGCTGGATAATGGAACCTTACACTACAAGCGTCCAAAGAGTGGGGGGCTCCCAGCCCTTGGAGGAGGCAGACAGGACCAGCCAGCACCTCCAATCCCCCCAGGACGTGGCTGGGGTCAGTTCTGCGCCAAGCCCACAGGACTGGGCCAAGGCTCATCCCACTCAGCAGACGGACAGGACCAGCCCAGTCCTGTGCACCCCGGGCCAAACCTCCCCTCCCCCACTGCCATGTTCTCAGGTTAATGACAAGTGTGTAGAAGGGAAGATCCTACTCACTGACATTCCCAACCACATGTCCACCTCTCAGAACTAACAGTTGTCCTGGTCAAGGCTGACAGGACGAAGTGCATGTTGCGGACATGGCAGACACCTCAAAAATGGCCAGGCAGGTGGACGAGGCACCCCGGGCAGTGAGCAGATGCAGCCCCCACTGCATGTCCCTCCCAGAGCTCTGCAGAGGACGCCAGCATGGAAACAGGTGCTCAGAGCTGGGCGACTGAATCACAGAGGGCAAAAAGCGTCTGCAGAGCTGACAGTGCCACCCAGGAGCCAAACCCAGACCCCAGAAGGAGGTGGCCAGGCCTGGGCAGGCAGGGGAGACCTGGTGCTGAGGCCCAGGGCAGAGCCACGCCCTACAAAGTTCCAGGACATAGAACGAGGGATCCCCAAACCACAGCTGTCATCCTCAGCTGCAATGGCAAATAGTTACCCTACGGTGCTGCCCCAACCCTGCCCCAAGCCCCAACCCTGCCCCAAGCCGCAGACGGGTACATAGACGCGCACAGGCCACGCGCTAGGAGCTCCGCAAGGACGCCCGCAGCGCGGGCCCAGCCACTAGCGCCGTTTTCTTCCCGAGGGACGTGTGCTCCCTGCCGAGCTCCTACAGAAACGGTGGAGAGGACTTGGTGGGGGGGTGCTTGGGCTCCACGGAGCACCCTGCGCACCCGCCGCCTCGGCCCTGGCTCCGGGCCCTCTAGCCCCAACTCTCAGGGTTTCACCTCCCCACTCAGGGCACCGGGAAGGGTGCGACCGCCTTCCCTTTTCCCCACTGGAAGGGAATTCTGTCCCGGCAATCACGGAGACTACAGCAAAAGAGGTCTGGCCCCGGCAGGGCTTCTGGACACCGGCGCCCTTGGAGGCCGCCAGAGAAGGCTCCAGCCTTGGCCCGGGGATCAGGCGCGCGGGCTCTGCCTTTGCAGCCGGATAGAGGGAGAGAGAGGCTCCGCGGAGCGGCCCGGGCCGGCCCAGGACGCGGGCGCTGCAAGATGGCGATGGCCGTGCGCCCGGCGTCCGCCCGTGCTCCCTGCTTCCGCGGCCGCAGCCGGCGAGGAAGGTGCCCCGGGACCCGGGCCGGCACAGGCAGGGGCAGGTGGGGGCGCCGGGCCGGGCCGGGACCTCGAGGAGTTCGCGGGAACGCAGACCCCCGGGGCCCTCCCGCGTCACCGCCGGGGGCTGCGCTTTGGGCCCGGTCTGAGGGCGGCGGCCTCCTCCACGGCCAGACCCGGCCCCCGGGCCCCGTCCCCTTCCCCCACAGCGCGCGACCGCGGTCGCCGGCGGCCTCAGGGCGGGAGGGGGCGCGCTCCCGCGAGTGGTCCGGGAACGCGCGCCCCAGGACACCCCTAGCTGCGCACGGCGCAGCTCCCTCCCCGGTCCCGCAGGCCCAGCCGCGGGGTCGTGACCGGGGACAGGGTAGCGGCTGGGGATCGGGACTCGGAGTGCCGTCCCGGGTCCCACGGGGCTGGGGTCGGTGGAGCAGCCTAGAGGCCCACGAGCCCCTTTGTGTCACCTGCGCGGGCCGCGGGCGGGGAGGGCACACGGCGGCGCTCGCTCACACGCAGCGGCCCGCGCATGCGCACGACCCTTGCTGCGGTACCGCCCCCGACTGCGGCCACGCGCGGACGACAGCGCGCACGCGCACTCGCACACAAAGCCGGCGGCCCGCGGGCGCGCGCTCGGCCCGCCCCCGCGCCCCCCGCCCGCGCGGCCTCCGCCCCGCCCCGCCCCCGCCCGCGGCCGGAAACGCGCGCGCGCGCGCGGCCTTACCGAGCGGCAGGCCCTTGTTGAGCAAGTGCGAGCTGCCCATCGAGAGGCGCGAGCGGCCGCGGGCCCCGACCACTCCGGCGCGCTGCGCCGCCGCGAGTCCGGCGCGTGGGGCGGCCTCAGTGCCGTCCGCTGCTCCGCCCGCCCGCCTGCGCCTGGCCGCCGCCGTGCCGAGCCTCCGCCGCGCCGCTGAGCCGCGCTCCGACGACCGCGCGGGCGGGGACACGGCGGCGCGCGCGGGCGGGGCCTCGCGGTTGGTCTCCTGGTTCCCGGCGCGGGCGGCGCACGGACTCACGCGGGCGGCTCAGGACCCGCCCGGCCGGGCGCGGCTGCGGGGCGGGGCGGGAGCCTGGCGGGAAGCTCGCGGGGGCTGCAGCCCGGCGGAGGCCCGAGGCCCGGTGTTCCGCACGTTCTAAACCGCCTGTCCCCGAGGAAGGCGGGCAGGGTCGGGCCGGGCTCACCACCGCTGGCGGGAGCGCCGCCCGCCCCGAGGCCCCCTGCGGGACGGCGCCGGGCCCGGAAGCCGAGGCAGGGTCGCCCACGTCAGCGCCCGGCACAGACCCGAACGTAAATGGCGCTCCTCTGCGCAGCGGCCGCCCTGCTCCCTTCCCGCCCCGCCAGCCGCCGCCCTCCCGCGCTCGCTCCTGGCCCCGCGGCCTGGCCCGTGCACCTCCGAAGAGCTTGTCCTTGCGGTGCCGCTGTCCCCGGGGCTGGCCAGGGGCACCGAGGCCGCGGGTTCCCCCCATCGCCCCCACCCGGGCCCTGATTTACCGTTCAAGAGCCGGCCGCACATGGGGCCCCGAGAGGAGAAGCACGGCCGCCCCAGTGCGTCCCCAGCCGGGGGGGATGGAGGGGCCGCGTCCTGCCCGGCCCAGCGCGCTGTCCCCGGCCCGGGAAGTTCAGGGCTGGAGAACCCCCTTCTCGACCCCGTTTCTCCTTTAACAAGAGTAGGGTTTGTAGCCAACCAACGTCCAGGCAGCTCAGCTCTGCTTCTGCGCGCTGCTGGAGACGCCCCGACCCGGGAGGGCCCGAAAGTCCCTTCTGGGAGAGGCCGCACCGGGCCTGCTCACCCAGGGGCTGCCCCTGCAGACTCTCCCGAGGGGCCCAGAGATATTCCTCGCGCCGCGAGTGGACGCTTCCATCCACCCCGTGGGGAGGGCCTCTGCGCCTGGCTACTCTGAGCACACTGGAATGATCAGATAGTTGCATAATTTGAGAAACCACAGCCTGGAGACGGAATGATACAGACTCCTATCCGAGAGACACCTGCTCTAGTTTCGCTGTGGTCCGTGAGGACGCGTCCTAGGCTGCCCTGAGAAGCCCATGTCTGCCCTTCCAGGCCTGGGAAGACCTCTGACCCCACTGACAGTGCTGGGCCCTCAGTCGGGCCTGCCATGCCTACCACTTTCTGTTCTAAGACCGGGCTGCCCAGCTGTGGCCTGGAGGAAACCTGGCAGGTGTCACCAGAGCTTTGGGGAGGGTGGGGCCTTGTCAGGGAAGCCCAGTGGGAGTCATGAAGGAGGGAACACGTGTGGAGCCCTTGTAGGGGGAGGGGCAGCCCTGCAGAGATCTAAGAAAATTCCAGAAAAATGAGCAGCAACCTCCAAGGCCAGACATAGGTGCAGGGGACAAGGGGTCGCAGATGGAGGGGCCTAGGTGAGGCTGCCGGGAAGGGACGATGTGGTTGGTGGAGTGCACAGGCAGGGACCTCACTGGACTTTCCTATCTGCTCGGCATGGACAGGCAGCCCAGGAGAAGGCAGCAGGGACATGCCACCCCCTCTTTCCCCAAGGAAGCTGGGGACAGACGGGTCCCAGGCACTCCATCCTCTGCAGCAGGTCAGGTTGTGATTTACTGGGCGTTGGTGAATAAAATGGAGAGGCTTCTGGGGAGAAATTCCTGGCTCCCACGTGGACTGGCAGAGCTCAACAGGCAGCCACGTGGCTGAGTGTCCAGCAAACATCACATAAGGCTTTGGGTCCTGTAGGTGAGGCTGCCCTGAGCAGCAAGCTCAGTCCAGAAGAGCAGTTCCTCTCCAGGATCCATTTTCTGCGCACTTTTATGTCCAGTGTAGCTGGAGCAGAGCTCGCTGGAATTCCACAGGCAACTAAGAACGGAGAGGGATGCATGCCAGCCAGGGATCCGTTGTCTTCCCCATCAGCACGCCCCATGGCCTCCGTCTGCACAGTGTCCCTCTGCACAACTTGTCAGTGCGTTATCACGACTCTTATTTGGCCCTGGCCTGTCCCACTGTCCTGGCTTGTTCCAAGTGCTTCCTTCTCCAGCTGTGGTTCTGGCTGCAGAGCTGTCTGCTCCCCACGTTGGGCAACTCCAGCCAAGATTCCTACACCCAAATGTGACCGTGTTGCTCACAAAGAAGCCTCAGCTTTGTGTGCACCCAGCTGTGTGCACAGCTTGTCCCAACCCCAGTGGGTGCTGCGTGCCTCTCCCACCTCCAGTCCTTGCCATGATGAGCAGATGACCACCGCCCTCCAGGGTCAGTGTTTGGCTGCTCTTGTGCCTGCCCACCTGCCTCCCTGTGCCTGGGCCTGTCATGTGCCTGCACACAGGAGGGTCTCGTGGCGTTTGCCCTACACGGATGGGCTGTCCTAGGAGCTGCTGGAGAGTCACCTTGGTGGGGATGCCAGAGGCCTGGCACCAGGTTCCTCCTGGCCAGCCTTCATTCCCACACGGGGTATTTTTGTCCATCACGTGGGACAACCTAGGATTGGGGGAAAACTCAGTACACTCTGAAGAAGCGTCGGCATTTTGGATGGACGAATGCTGCTTCATGTGACTCCAGGTCAATGGACTATATTATTCAACTTGGGTATTTATGAGTGCTCCTGTGTACCAGCCACGTGTGAAAGAAAAACTCCAAGTTACCTGACACCAGGACAAACCAGGTAGATCACTGCGTCTGGTTCCTCCTCTTTCTGCTAACTCTCCTGGACCACTGTTCTGATTTCTGGCACAGAGTCGGGGGCGAGCTCATCAGTACCCAGAGCGTCTGGTGTGCAGCCAAAGGCCCCCATTTTATAAGTCGGTGTGTTCCGTATCACACTCAAGACAAGGGCCACCCTATTACTTCACATACCTCAAATACAAAAAGTGCCTGGGAACGTTGATGAGGTGTTAAAGGAAACCACTGGTGTTGTCAGTCATGTACACACAGAAAAAAGTCATTTTTATTTATTTATTTATTTTGAGACAGAGTTTCGCTCTTGTTGCCCAGGCTGGAGTGCAATAGTGCAATCTCAGCTCACTACAACCTCAGCCTCCCGGGTTCAAGTGATTCTCCTGTCTCAGCCTCCCGAGTAGCTGGAATTGTAGAACACCCATCACCACGCCCAGCTAATTTTATGTATTTTTAGTAGAGATGGGGTTTCACTGTGTTGGTCAGGCTGGTCTCAAACTCCTGACCCTCAGGTGATCCACCCGCCTCAGCCTCCCAAAGTGCTGAGATTATAGGCGTGAGCCACTGCACCCGGCCAAAAACAACCAAGAAATTTTTAACAATAAAATGACCAACAAGTAAACTTGAAACAAAAATGGACAAATATCTAAAATATTTTAAAATGTATATATTTTAATTGGCAAATAATCGTATATATTTATTGTTTACAACTTGTTTTAAAATATGTATACATTGTGGAATGGCTAAATCAAGTTAATTAACATGCACTAACTCACATACTTGTTTTTTGGTGTGGTGAGAACACTTAAAATCTACTCTCAGCAATTTTCCAGCACACGGTATATTGTTACTAACTATAGTCATCATGTCCTACTATAGATCCCTAGAACATATTCCTCCAATGTAACTGAAATGTATCCCTTGACCAACATCACTGCCCAGCCCCAGCGCCAGATAAACACCATTCTACCCTCTGCTTCTGTGAGTTCAGCTTTTCTAGATTTCACCTGTAAGTGAGATCATGCAGCATTTGTCTTTCTGTGCCTGGGTTTTTCACATAACGCCCTGGTTCATCCATATTGTCATATATGGCAGCATTGTCTTCCTTTTTAAGGCTGACTGGTGTACTATTACGTATACACACCACATTGTCTACCTAAAATACTTTTAATACAATTGCTGAAAACTGCCACATAACTTGTATAACTGCTATAAGGGCTTGGTTTTCAGCCATAAGATGGGAAGAGAAATAACATCTACCTTGCAGGATGACTGCAAGCTGTAAAGTGCCACAAAGCCCAGGGGAGCCCAGAACCACCACTGCAGGACAGGTCCTCTGGAAGCAGACAGACCTGCCTTGTTACTTTAGCCCTCCAGAGTCCAGTTTAGCCAGTGATGAAATGAGTACGAAAGAACACCTTTCTTGTAGGATTGCAAAATGATACAGAGCATGTCTTCATCCATTCTGTGCTGCTATAACAAACTACTACAGAGTGAGTAATTTATAGTTTACAGACGCTTGTTGGCTTATGGTTCTGGAGGCTGGGCAGTTCAACCTCAAGGGGCTGCATCTGGTGAGGGCCTTCTTGTTGCACCTTCACATCACAGAATAGCAGAAGGGCAAAGAGAGAGAGAAAGAAAAGGGTGCTGAACGCACCCTTTTATAAGAAGCCCACTCCCATTATAACAGCACCAGCCCATTCAGGAGGGCAAAGCTCTTGTGGCTGAATTGCCTCTCAGAGGTTCCTCTCAGATGATCTTAAGATCATCACAATGACAATCAAACTTCAATATGAATTTTGGAGGGGACAATTATTCAAACCAGAGCAGAGAGGGACGGCAAATGTTCTGAAAACAAGCCTAGAAATTGATCTTAGAAATAGTGCAAAAGTAGATTTCCACTTCTGTCTTTACCTGTGATGGTCTAACCCCAAAAGCCTCCCAGAACAGAACTTGTGAACACAAGATAGAGATGACAAACTTTTGATGCACAGCCGAGCTCACAAGGAGGTCAGGGATGTGACAGGAACCAGAGACAAACAGAAGACTGAAAACCAGGTCTTGAAGTGTGATAGCCAAAGGGGAGTAGCCCGGGAGAATGTTGGTCTGGAGCCTCGGGATTTAAGTCTCCACACTCACATGGGAAAGGAGATGAGGCCTCCCTGGACACGTGAATCGGGAACTGGAACAAGGGCACTCAAAGGGCTACACCCTCAGGAGAGATGTGAACAAATGTGCCCACAGAAATAGGATGAAAATAGGAAGAAAATAGGATGGTTCTGTGTTTGCCTGCCTGTTGTGGTTCTGTGAGACAGAAACAGTTTTGTTGAAAATTGATAATCAGGACTCAGAGTCTCATTAGACTTCAGGTATTGAATTTTTCTTTTTTGAGACAGGGTCTAGCTGTGTTGCCCACGCTGGTTTTGAACTCCTGGGCCCAAGTGATCCTCCTACTTTGGCCTCCCAAAGTGCTGGGATTATAGGAATGAGCTACCGTGCCCAGCCTAGGTATCAAATTTTCACAGGTTTCACAGTTCAGGCCTTACCACCCCTGCAGCAAATAACTTGATATAAAACCTGGGCCCAAGCCAGTAAGACCCTTGATGCCCATGACAGAAGCAGGCACAGTGATAGAAGCAAAATCACATAGACATTCTCAATCTAGCCCCCTCCGATTCCTACCCATAAAACCCACTGAAGATGAATTTACAATCATAAAGTACAATACATGCAAAGAAAGAACCACATGAGGGAAGTCAACAGATGTGTGAAAGCAGGAACGGACTCCCCCACCAAAGGTCTTCAGAAGGTGAATCGAGCAAAAAAGAGAACATTAATTAAACATGTTTAACATGGTTAAGAATTACAGTAATAAAAGAAGTAAATGAGGCTGGGTGCGGTGGCTCACGCCTGTAATCCCAGCACTTTGGGAGGCCAAGGTGGGTGGATCACCTGAGGTTGGGAGTTCAAGACCAGCCTGACCAACAAGGAGAAACCCCATCTCCACTAAAAATACAAAATTAGCTGGGCGTGGTGGCGTATGCCTGTAATCCCAGCTACTCGGGAGGCCGAGACAGGAGAATTGCTTGAACCCGGGAGGCGGAGGTTGTGGTGAGCCGAGATTGTGCCATTGTACTCCAGCCTAGGCAACAAGAGCGAAACTCCATCTCAAAAAAAAAAAAGTACATGAACAAGAATACGATTGCAAGGGAATGGGGGAAGAATAGGCAGTTTTGAAGAACTAAATGGAATATCTAGAACGGAAAACCATACTTGCTAAAATTAACTCAATGAGTGAGTTAAAAAGCAATTTAGACCCAGCTGAAAGCTGAATTTGTGATATATGCAGAAATTACTTCTGGTGTGAGGCAGAGCATGATGACAGAATGAGGGGATCCCAAACATCTTTGAGAGTTCCATTCTGAATGATTAGAAGAATGAGGAAGCAACAGTATTTAAAAAGATAATGACAAGAAAGTTCTATACTTCATGAAAAATGTGAATCCTAAGATTCAGGAACACTGTGAGACTTGAACTGGGGGAAAAAAATGAAACTACACTTCTACATTTAGGAGTAAAACTACAGAATACAAAAGACAAGAAAAAAATTTAAAGTGAAAAAGAAAACCACTCAGATTACACCAAAAGCAGTTATCATGAAAGCAGCCTTATCAATTACAATGATAAAAGCCAAGCAATAGTCAAATATCTATTTTTTTAAAGTCTCAAGATAAAATAAGTAGTAACACAGGATTCTATACATAGCATTATTTGTTATCTATTGGGGCATAATAAAATTCCCCAAAACTTTGCAGCTTAAGAAACATTCAGTATCTCACCATTTCCATGAGTCAGGAATCCAGGCATGGCTTGAGTCCTCTGCATATTGGCTTCTCACTAGACTGCAATTAGGACAATGGCACAGCATCTGTGGTCCCATCCGAAGGCCTGCCTGGGGAAGTCTGCATCTGAGCTTACTCTTCATGGGCTGTTGGGCAGAGGGGCCCTAAGCTCCCAGCCATGTAGGCTCTCCCATGGAGCAGCTTCTCTCAACAAAGCACGCCTGACAAGAGGACAACACACAGTCTTCTAGGAAGAAGAAAGCCACAATCTTTTTTTAAAAAAGCAAAGCAGGCCGGGCGCGGTGGCTCACGCCTGTAATCCTAGCACTTTGGGAGGCCGAGGTGGGCGGATCACAAGGTCAGGAGATCAAGACCACGGTGAAACCCTGTCTCTACTAAAAAATACAAAAAATGAGCCGGGCGCAGTGGCGGGCGCCTGTAGTCCCAGCTACTCGGGAGGCTGAGGCAGGAGAATGGCGTGAACCCGGGAGGCGGAGCTTTCAGTGAGCCAGGATCGCGCCACTGCACTCCAGCTTGGGCGACAGAGCGAGACTCCGTCTCAAAAAAAATAAATAAATAAATAAAAATAAAAAAAAAATAAAAAAGCAAAGCAATATTTGTGTAATTGCCACTTGGTTTGAAAAGTGGAACACTGTGTCAAAAACCCCTCCAAAGCCCCACCAGTAACTGCCCTCCTCCTCCTCCCCAGTGCAACGACTGCCTTCACTTCTTTTTTTCAACTTTTAAAGTTTGTGGTAAAATG